AAAGCAAAAAGGTCTTATAAAACCCAGCTGAAGGCCTAGGACTGGGGCGATGGCGCCCGTGCCCACAGAGAGGGCTCTGCGTGCCGCCTCTGGTACCCGTGCCATAGGTTCGCCACCGCTGCTCTATGAGTTCCTGGTGATCTACCCCTAACCCTAACTGGAATTTTCCTCCAATGGGATTTTCCCATGTATTTTACAAGGAAACATAGATAGGGCAGGCCAGAAAAGTCAGTGCCTTCCTAACCATACCCAAGCACTCCGCATTTTTTGGCAATGTCCATTTTGCTCTCCAAGTTCATGGTGACCCTAACCCTAAATGGAATTTTTCTCCAATGGGATTTTCCCATATATTTTATGGAAGAACTGGCAGGGCAGGATGGGAGGGGAAACAGACAGGGGGGCATGTTGCAGTGTCTCTGTGGTCAGTTGTAAGGGCGAACGACCACTGTGGTGCTGCAACATACGTAACTTCGGGACCAAGTTGTAATTACTTTTGGGGGGATGTGTCATAATTTTAAATGGTCGCTAATTGAACTGTCGTAACTCAAGGAATACCTGGAATGTGTGTATCAGGTAAAAGTGTTTTAAATTGTTCTCAGCCTCTTCAAAAATTTAATCCATTTAAATCTGTATACTTTCTGAGATTCTGGTTACTAATATATCAGTCTAGTTATCAAAAAAACTCTTTAAGAAAAAGCTTAGCCATTTTAACTCTTTTCTGCCTAGTTCATTAGTTTCCTCTAGATTGTAATCTTCCGTTTGTAATCTTCAACAAGCCTCGGTTCCTAATATAGGTTTATGTCTGTTTCAGTTATTTCCTACAAATGTATTATTTTTAAAAATTTAGATACAACAGCAAAAACTATGTATATTCCAAATCTCTCTGGTCTCCCAATCCATTTATATCTTTGTAAAATAAAAATCCTTTTTTTTTTTTTTTGCTTTTGGTATATTGTATATAATGTATTATTTTGCATATTATGTTGTCTGTTTGAAATTTCTTAAATCCAAAAAAGTAAAATTCAGTGGCTGTCAAGCTTGTTGTTTTGAAGGTCTCTAATATACATAAAGTGATTAAATTAAACCTTTCCAAGTATAATTAAAAAGTGAGCCCTTATTAAGTCCACAGTTGATAAGAGCAAAGATGTTGTCTCCCTCAGATCCTGGCACTCAAATCAACAAGATCCCATTGTTTCATAGTCTCCTTGCAAGCAGCTGCCATTCAGAGCATTTATGGACAATCTTCCAATCTCTCCTTCTCCAGAGACCTTCAAAGTCCCATCGCAGGTCTACACAGCAGTTGTCAATCAGCCATGACTCACAGTGAAAGCCAATAGTGGCAAGGTTTTTTAAATATAATTCATCTGTGTGAACACATGAATAAGTAACTGTATGAATTGTATTTAATGTGTGAACCCATAGTACACATCAAAATAAAGTATTGTTATTATGGGAAATTTCCTGATAGTGAGAACAATTCATCTGTGGAACGGCTTGCCTTCAGAAATTATGAGTGCTCCATCACTAGAGTTTTTCAAGAACAGATTGGATAACCATTTGTCCAGAATGGTAAAGTGTCTTCTGGGTTGGACTAGAAGACTTGAGACTCTAGAATGTTGAGACTCTAGAAAGAGTACAGAGAAGAGCAACTAAGATGATTAGGGGAATGGAGGCTAAAGCATATAAGGAACGGTTGCTGGAATTGGGCATGTCTAGTTTAATGAAGAGAAGGACGAGGGGGGACATGATAGCAGTCTTCCAATATCTCAGGGGCTGCCCCAAAGAAGAGGGAATCAAGCTATTTTCCAAAGCACCTGAAGGCAGGACAAGAAGCAACGGATGGAAACTAGTCAAGGGGAGAAGCAACCTAGAACTAAGGAGAAACTTCCTGACAGTTAGAACAATTAACCAGTGGAACAACCTGCTTCCAGAAGCAGTGAATGCTCCAACACTGGAAGATTTTAAGAAGAGACTGGACAGCCATTTGTCCGAAATGGTATAGAGTTTCCTGCCTGAGCAGGGGGTTGGACTAGATGACCTCCAAGATCCCTTCCAACTTTATTATCATTATTATTGTTATTGTTATTTCCAAAGTCCCTTTCAAACTCTATTATTCTATGAGGATAATGATTCTCTTCAACTTGCTTTTTACCTATCTTTTTTTTCACTGAAAACATGTTAAAATGACTTTCTGTGCGGCATTTTAAAATTATTATACTGGAGGTCCCCTTCATTTTAAATCCAGAACTGAAGAGTTTCTAAAATGCTACTGGGCTCAAATGAAAAAGGAATAATGTTCAAGGGAATAATGTCTCTGCATAGAGGAATTCTTTTGTCCTTAACACTTGAATTTATCCCATGGCTGACTGACAGACTGAATGGGCTTTGCTACTAACAACATGGCCTGTGGAGACATCCAGTGTTCAAAAACAGCAGTGTCTGTCCTTAGAACTTATTAGTTGCAGACAACAATACTGCAGTGCAAAAGGGGTAAGGCTCATATCATGAATGCTTTAGTCATATTCCCCATCTGCCTCACTCTCAAATATGCATACATACAACTGATATCATTAGACGTTGTTCACACGCTCTACAAAAGATGCAAAAGCACTCAAAGTGAGACCAGAAGATAATAGGCTGTCAAACAAATGAGCTTTTTTCCTGATACACTCTGTTAATAGGCAGCACATATATCCACAATGAATCACACAATTAAAGCATTCCTGGAAGATATTGTTTCCTTTTGAGGAGTTGTTCAAATCTGGCTGTTTTACTGCTCAACAACCCTTTCACATCAGAGCATCCTCCCTTAGATCCAGACTCAGTCTATTTTAGTAACAGAATGATAGTTGGAAGGGATTTGGGGTTGTTCTAGTCCAGGGGTAGGCAACCTTAGCTCTTTTATGACTCGTGGACTTCAACTCCCAGAATTCCTGAGCCAGCATGGCTCAGCTTGGAAACGTCTCCCTTTCCCCTCAACATGGCTGCTCAGGAATTTTGGGAGTTGAAGTTCACAAGTCATAAAAGAGCCGATGTTGCCTAGCCCTGCCCTATACCATTCCAGACAAATGACTATCCAGTGATGGTGCCCCTGCAATTTCTGGAGGAAAAGCCATTCCACTGATTGTTCTCGTTGTCAGGAAATTTCTTAGTTCTAGATTGGATTTCTCCTTGACAAGTTTCCGTTATTTCTTGTCCTGCTTTCAGGTGCTTTGGAGAATAGGTTGATAACCTCTCAAATAGATTAATATTATGTCACTCCTAGTCCTTCTCTTTGTTAGAGTAGACATAGCCAGTTCCTGCAACCATCCATTCTATGTTTTAGCCTCCAGCCACCTAATCATCTTTATTGCTCTTCTCTGCACTCTAGTCTTAACATAATTTTTTGTATCGTAGTGACCAAACCTAGATACTGTATTCCAGATGTGATCTTACCAAAGTAGTATAAATCAGTACTAACACCTTGTGTGACCTTGCAGCAGAAGTCTGCATTGGCTTTCTTTGGCAGCTGAAGCACAGCTACTTCCTATTTAAGTGATTGTCCACTAGGACTCCAAGATCCCGCTCATAGTTACTACTGTTGAATCAGTAGTAACTCAACTACTAGTAGTTTAGAATATCTATTCTATCCCCTCATCTAGATGATTTTGAAGATGAAGAACATTAGGCCCAAAACCAAACCTTTGTGATACCTCGTTGCATGATTCCCTCCATGTAGATATAATTCCACTCAAGACCACCCACTGACTACAGTTGATCAGCCAATTGCAAATCAATTTGATAGTGGTACTGTCTATCCCATATTGTTCTATCCTACCAAGAAGCAGATTGTGGTCTACTTTGTCAAATGTCTTGCTGAAGTCCAAGTATACTATGTCCACAGGATTTCGCCAATCCACTAATTTAGTTATTTAATGAATTCAGAGTATTGTGCAATCAATCACTTTTCCTTACAGTGAAGGAAAACCTTATTTGATCCCCTGCTGATTTTGTACATTTGCCCACTGACAAAGAAATGATCAGTCTATAATTTTAATGGTAGGTTTATTTTACCAGGGAGAGATGAAATAACAACAAAAATCCAGAAAAACACATTTCAAAAAAGTTATAAATTGATTTGCATTTTAATAAGTGAAACAGGTATTTGATTCCCTATCAATCAGCAAGATTTCTGGCACGCAGGTATCTTTTATACAGGTAACAAGCTGAGATTAGGAGCACTCTTTTAAAGGGAGTAAATTAATCCATTGCCTAGAGACCCAGGGTTCTCATGACAACACCATCCTTTGAGCCAGTGATTTATTTCTAAAATTCTCTGTTCCCTCATTGGATGCTGACTTTCAGTTGGAAGAACAGATGGGAACACCACCTGTGCTCCTCTTTGGCTTTCCTGCCTACTTGCTCAAACGAAGTAGAATATGTTCATTAAACAAGGATGATAAAAAGATCAAAACCTAAATTTTACAAATGGAAATTGTGGGAAGTGGGATTATTTAACTGCTGGGAAAGATAAATTGGAGGGAGCTCATGATAGCAATCTTCAAATATGCAACAGGGTGCCAAACCAAAGATAGATTGGCCATCATCATTGCAGAACGGAAGTCAGAGATCGGTGATATTAAATTACAGGAAGACAAACTTTCTAAAAGATAAAAGTAGTTCAATACTGGAAGAAGTTACTAATAGAAATTTTAAAAATTTATTATACTTTAAAATAAAAACATCATCAGTTTCAAAACCTTTGATTCCTATACAGCAGTGGTTCTCAACCTTTTTAATGCCGCAACCCCCAACCGGTCGTAAGTCGAGGACTACTCAATCGGTCGTAAGTCGAGGACTACTCAGCTGGTGCAGCACCGTTTGCAGAATGGGACTTTTGGCGGGCTCAGCAGGGCAGAGACAGCCTGGACAATTCCTATTGGCTTTTGAAAGCCAATAGAATTAGACTCTATTCAAGAGAGTCTATTCTATTGGCTTTCAAAAGCCAATAGAATAAAAGGGAGTAGCACAGCTAAGGAAAAGGGGAAAAAAATGGCGGACTGCGTTGTTTGGCGACCCCCGTGAAATGGTCGTTCGACCCCAAATGGGGTCCGGACCCACAGGTTGAGAACCACTGCTATACAGGGTATGGAATTGAATTAAAGGATCTACATGTTCCTATCCAATTCCTACAGTTCAATGATCTTGTGAATTTTGTTGTTCTCAATGCTCTGAATTAACCAACTGGACCCAAAAGATTGGAAATGCTATTACACGATGGTGGATAATGAATAGGAACAGAAAGAGGGCTGCTGAGGTTTATCATCTAGTCTTGCCTGAATAACAATTACCGTATTTTCCGACGTATAAGACGACCTTCTAAACCATGCAAATCTTCTCCAAAGTCGGGGGTCATCTTATACGCCAAGTCGTCTTATACGTTAGAAAATACCGTATTCTCCGGCATATAAGACGACTTTCTAACCATGCAAATCTTCTCCAAAGTCGGGGGTCGTCTTATACGCCGAGTCGTCTTATACGCCGGAAAATACGGTACTTTGAAATCCATTCGGAAGTTTCAACCAGTGCAAGCAATCTTTGGAGCCCCAATGAAGGATCATATTCCACAAACTTCATTGGCTACCAGTCTGCTTCTGAGTGCAGTTCAAGGTGTTGGTTATGACCTTTAAAGCCCTTAATGGCATGGGTCCAGGCTACATGAACCATCTCATCCCACTAAGATTAGCCCATCCTACTCGGACTGGCAGAGGCCCTATTGTGGATCCCATTGGTCAAAAAACTCCGTCAAGATCCTTCCACCCTTTGGAACACCTTGCCTTCCAGGGTAAGATCTGCTCCCAACATCCTATCTTTAAGAACCGAAAGAACTGGCTCTGCAAGTTGGCCTGGGTACCCAATGGGAAAGTTCTATTCTGGAGGTGGCTATTTAGATTGACAGCAGACCTCTCCCCCCACCCACCCTACTCTGCCCCTCACTTGCCCATGTATTTTTAACTAGTCATATTGATATATTTTCTCTGCATACTTTTTCTTGGTTTATTTTATGGTTCTATTATTTTACTTTAGCTTTGTTTAAACTTACTTTTTATTTCTTCGTTTGTTATTGTTATAAGCTGCCAAGAGTAGCCCTATCTCGAGATGGGTGGCAAATAAATTTAATAATAATAATAAAAACTATAGCAAAAAAACCTTCAAATGTAGACAAAATACACTAAATCATATTTATTAGGCAAGTACAATGGCATAAATTATAAATTGTAGCTCTGGCTCTGCCAGCAGAGAATCTGTAATAGCATTGCGTTTAACTGGGATCATTCATTTCTACCAACAACACTTCACTAGACTTTTTTTTTTTAATTTCCAAGGGATATTTTCTATTTAATGAATTATCTTAAGCAAAAAGATAATCAGTACCATGCTTAAACTTGATTTAAACAAAAGTTTGTTTTCTAATAATGTCTTAAATTTCATGATTCAATTCCATCTTTTAAATATCATTGATAGACTGGGAAAAATAGAAGTCATAAGTTAGTAACTCAAAAAAAATAATCTGATCTAACATACTCCAACTTGTCAAATTTCACTTTCATGAATTGTATTCATACTCACCAACCTCTGAGAATTATGACTGCAAAGAAGGTAACATTAAGCAAAATAACGTGTAATTTAACAAGCTGCAATTATCTGATGAAAAATCCTTGCGTAGTATAACCTTCTCAAAAGAGCGTGCAGTTCTACTTTTATAGTTCTACTTTTATAGTTTTTATAATACCCATTAAGTAAGAGACAATACACAAACAAGACCCCTGTCTACACTGAATTATTTAGCGTAGGTTTGAGGCAATGACATATATGTATTCCATTCCCAATCTTTTGAGAATTAAAATACATACTATTTTCTGCACAGTATTCAAATTGGAAGCATACCTCATATGTGTTTGGATTACACAACTATTCTATGGTACTGGCCTTATGCCTCTTACTAAGGTGAGAGAAATAAAATTTGCTTTTAATTGACAGATTCAATCACAGATTCAATCACACAGAAAAGATATTCTGACTTTGTAAATTCCCCAAAAATAATATAGAGATAAATCAGACAGCTTAACATAGCTGACTGTATACATACTTTGAGACTTATTATTATGAACCCTTTATGTCTACAATCCACAAAATTGGTAATATTTTACTGAGAAACAGGTTAGTTCAAAAGGAGAATGTTATAAATAAAAAGAAGAATGTAACATAGATCAATATTAAGCCAGACAAGAAAAGCGAGCTACACTGAGTTATTTGACTTAGCCCTGTGTATTCTCAAGGAAGTACTTGATTTATTAGTTACTGGCCAAGAAGTAAGGCATTAAGCTTCTTACTTATCTAACATATTAGGATTCCCTTAACTTATATAAACAATTTTGAAAACCTATCTTCTGCATTCAGAAGACCTACAACTGCTAACAGAGTACTTTTGCTGATCTACAAGGCTTTATGTATAATTTAACCATATTCATATAAATTACTATGAAATATGCTTTCTTTCAACAGGAACTTTCCAATGGTTTTCCAGTCATTTGAATATTAGTTATAGTAATTCCTTCTATACGCATAATTACCATCTTTGTCTTTCAGAGGGAACAATTTTGTGGATATCAGTATGATAATCCATCTGTTCTGTAATTCTGACTATGTTTAGGCTCAGAAACTAAGAAAAGATATACAGAACATTTTGAACTGAACTGTCTTGACACAACAGACTTTCACACATAAAACAACTGTTTTGAGCTTGAAACACTTCCAAATTACTCAGATTAGGTACTTCTCATTCAAGGCAAGGTGCTTCATAGCTGAAACATGTTTCAATGAGGAACAGTTCAATTTGAAATGTTTTGCACAGTTCTGCTATGCAGAATTGAGTCTAATTAATACTTGGAATATTAGGACTATAGATATGACTGGAAAGTCAAAATGTCCCAAAAAACAATGGCAATCCACCTCAATACTTATGTACTAACACTGCATGGCTGTGTCCACACGGTTACCAAGACTTCAAGCTTGATTTAAAATTATCTTCCTTTTAACCCTAAAAAGAACTACAAAGCCAAAAAATAGTAGCAACCCTAAATAGATGCAGTAGTATTCCACAAGCATTCAATTCAAAACAACAGGAAGATTATTGTGTTGCCCATCTCTTGGCCTCCAAGGAGTCTTTAAATCTTCCCACGGTATTTCCAAACAGATTTGTCAAGTTCCATACGAAAAAGTCGCCGGATAACAGATTGAACAATGCCATGGCTTGGAGCTACTTTACAGTAGCAAGTGAGTTCAAATCAATCTCTAGAATATCTTTAAGAACAGACAGGTAGACCAATTAATGAGAAGCACCAATCATGGAAGCTGGAAATTATAAGTTTCATGCGAATGCATACTGTTTGTTTTTTTCAATACAGACTTCCACATGAGGAATTAATGGCTCAAAACAGACCCAGTTCACAACGATAAAGGTGAAATCTCAGGCTTTTAAACTTTGTGGGATTACCCAGAGTCAATTTCCAATATTTTCTTTTCATTAGATCTGAAGATTAATAAACGGGGCAAAGCCCACTGCATCCTGTAAGAGAACTAGGGCACGTTGAAATGGAGGTTCAACATCCAACTCCACTCCACGGCTACGCAAGATGCTCAGGCTGGATTCCGCAACATTGTGACAGTGCTTCACCTTCAAGGCACGCAGTTTAGGGCAGTATTCTGCCAAGGTCCTATAAAAAAGAACATACAAAACATCAAGGATACAGTTATCTACCAAGAATATTCTGTTTGGAAATGAATAGTGCAGAGTCTATAGGCAGCAATTCCTGGCATTTTCTATTATAGCTGGAATGAGGATGCAACCTTTTACACCCCCTGCAATTTTGGGAGCAAAAAGGCCACTTTTGGGTTGCACAATTAGGCCACATCCCACTGATGTGGGGTGTAGGAACTCTCGAAGCAAAGTGCTCCCATTTTCCCATCTCCAACCCATTAAAAAAAATCATAAAAACCTTCAAAAGCCTTCCAAAAATGCACACACCCATCCCCTTTTCTTGGAAACCTGCTTCCTAGGTTTCAGTAGCTTCAAAAAAGCAGCATAATTCAAACAAGTTGGAATTCTTAGATTTGACTGAATTTGCAAAACGTGTCCTTACAAAATTCAGAACGTCGATTGGGGCCTTATACACTGTTACTAAAACAGAATTCCGAAATCTGAGATCCTCCGATTAAATGGATATAGAACCTCAATGGACAATTCATGTGCAGCAAAGAAAATATAAATGGAACACAAATATTACATTTACCGTGAATATTATACTCTGAGAGCAATGAGGTCAAATCATTTGTCTATACTGTACTTAGTAGCAATGTTATGCTGGTAAAGCTGAACAATTTTCAAAGATTATTTATTACAGAAGGAAAATTTAAAGTCTGATTTCCCTTTCCTGACAGCTTTTTATCTGCTTAAGTGTTGCCAAGTCTTAAATCCTACAAAGTATATGGAGCTGCACTATATACAATAGCTACCAAGTTACTTTATGCTTTTTTACTGGAAATCATACATAATCCATTCTTTAAAAGGGCAGACTACTTCATGGGAATATGCCTCAGTGTCAAAAATAATTTCATATTGGAAAAACAAATCTGACACAGAATTTAAATGATTTATGGATATTAATTCTGCATACCCATCACATCTAAAGTTTGGGCTATTCTTAATGTAAGATTTTAAAAATAGAGCTTATCTGTCGTGTGGTAAGTTTTTTTATTTGATAGAAACCTTGATTTTAATCCGTATTCTTATTACAAAGTAGGCTTTTACTAATTAATTATCACTGATCTGATTTTCATAATAATTAAGACTATTTTCTCCAGGATGCAAATATCCTTTAGGTACAAGCTTGGTAGAGGAATAAGGCATATTGCTTAAGTTCGGTTAAATGAGTGCAAACTTCTAATGTTAGAAAAATAGTTTTAGGAGAAACTCTGCTATATTCTACTCAGCAAAGACAAGGCTGTTTTTCACCATGATTACCTGTGCCTAAACTTTCCAAGGTCCAGCTGAGTTTTATTTTAATATATATTTTTTAATATAATCAATTTAAAATAAAGTAAGAAATCAATGTAACCAGAGAGGAACTGACACATCATCATTCAGCAGAAATCTCTGCTACTGGAACTGAACCAAACATTAAAGATCAAAATATAAATTCAAGAATTATATATACTGTATATTCCGGCGTATAAGGCGACCCGGCGTATAAGACGATCCCCGTCTTCGGCGCCGAGTCACATGCCTAGAAAGTCATCTTATACGCCGGAAACTACTGTTATTTCCGGCGTATAAGACGACTCGGCGTATAAGACGACCCCCGACTTCGGCGCCGATTTTAACACTTGCCAAAGTCGTCTTATATGCCGGAAAGTACGGTATATAAGTCAGTGTAGTCTCCTGGCATCTGCTTGAGCAAGTCCCTGTAATTGTTTTGGCAAGATTTCAAAAATGATTTGCCCTTAGCTGCTTCTTATGGTTGAGAGTGAGTGACTCTTCCAAGATTATCTAAGCTAGTTTGGGGCCTAAGGAGAGATTGGCACTCAGGTTCTGCCATTCCCAGCCTTAACGCTCTATCAAACTGGTTCTTGCCAGAAGCAAGGAGAAAGAGAAGGAACGCAGGAATTACAGCAATTCCAAATTTGGAAAATGTAGATAATTATTTTTACAATATCGCATTGTAATCACAAGAATAGAGATTGTTGATCAAAGAGGTTTCCCACGAGGCTTGGCCTTCCTCAGTGAATATACTTGCAAATCTCTGCTTAGTAGTTGCAGAAAACTAGAAATCTACAATAGGTTTGTTCGAAAGATATGGGGGAGGGAGTTTCCTCGAACAGCATACATAATAAGCAAATAGGTCTATGTATGATGAGTAAAATTGCTTAACTGTTACAAATGCAATTAACATAATATTTAGTATTATACTAAGATTTTTAAATTTAAATGTTTTTCATGGCCTAATTTTCTACAGTGCAACCCCTAGTTCATCACATAAAAATTAATATAGCCCATGGTCCAACCAAAATTGCAAATTCTTAGTTTAAAAATTATGGGTTTCCCCAACTATGATAACAGCCAGCCAACTTTACATCAGATTATCATATTCCTTCTCTACTTTTCTTATCCAGAAAGTAATCCTTTCATATAATTAATCAAAAATAACAAAAAATCCTTTCTAGTAGTTACATCATGTTTAGTGACTACTTTTAAAACAACCCTTTGCAAACATGACAGTAATAAAAAAATTCATTTTCTGACCAATATGGGCCATTTACATTGAATGCCAGAGTAATACTGGCAGAACTGTATGGGATAACTTTATCTGAATGAGCGGCAGGCAGGAACTCATGATCTTCGCAGTCTTTCTCTTTCATGTTCACTTAGCAGCCATTTCATTTAATGACTAAGTCATTGTAGTAGAATTTGGTTGCTAAACAAGGAAAGGGTCTACTTATTTTCTAGATGCTATCTTCCTGTCAAAAGGAGAAGAAACTTCCCCGAGTTTTATATGGTTAAGCATATAAAATAGGTTTTAGTCTGTTCTAAAAACATTAACTTGTTAGATAATGTGACAAATATAAAAGTGAGTTAAGTCTGTTCCACAGTTTAAACCATTAACATTACTCTTAAAATAACTGAACACCACATGCCAATTTTTGGTGTTCTAATACCCAAAATTGGCACCAGAACCAAATTCTGGCCACAGAGTCGGGAGAAGTTCTGTCACTGCAAAATATTCAGAGATTGCTTCCTTATACTGGCCATCTGTCACAGGTCAGCCTAAAACTAAAAAGATCAAGTCTCCATTTTCATTCAGCCAGGATACCATAACTATCTGCTGGCCTAACCCACCTCATTAGACTGTTGAGAGGACAAATCTTGTCTGCCATCCCCTGAGGCCCCCTGAAGAAAAGTTGAGACATAAATGTACGGCAAACAAAAGAACAATATTTTTACTCTACACCTGCACAAATTACCTAATAGAGTTGTTCTTAACTCGTAGGCAGCCCGTGAGGTCCAAGTGCTCCAGATCAGAACAGGCTTTGGCAATTTCTTCTATGGCCACATCGCCAACATTTGCATTAACAGCCAGTGAAAGTGACTTTAGTTTGTGGCATCTCTGAGCAAGGTAGCAAATGGCTTCATCTTTCAGTTGCCGGCAGGCTGTGAGGTCTAGAGATTCAAGCTCTTTACAGTGATCGGCGAGGCTCCGCAAGGAGAGTCCATCCACCCATTCGCAATGGGCCAAGGAAAGCTGACGTAAATTGGGGCAGCCCAAAGAGATGGCCACCAAAGCATGGCGGCTCAGCTGTAGGCAGCCATTCAGCTCAATCTGTTGCAACTGATGGTTTTGACCAATTACAGGAAGCAGTTCCTTGTCGGATAACCAGTCAGAACAGTTTTGCAAGGCTAGTTGCTGCAGCACTTTATTGTCTCTTAATAGGATACAGAATGCAGCTTTTGGGATAGGAGATCCAACCTGTTTGTAGGCAAGAAAACACACCATTATATCCTACACCAGTGGTTCTCAACCTGTGGGTTGGGACCCCATTTGGGGTCGAACGACCATTTCACGGGGGTCGCCAAACAACGCAGTCCGCCATTTTTTCCCCCTTTTCCTTAGCTGTGCTACTCCCTTTTATTCTATTGGCTTTTGAAAGCCAACAGAATTAGACTCTATTCAAGAGAGTCTATTCTATTCGCTTTCAAAAGCCAATAGGAATTGTCCAGGCTGTCTATGCCCTGCTGAGCCCGCCAAAAGCCCCAGTCTGCAAACGGTGCTGCACCAGTTGAGTAATCCTCAACTTACGATCAGTTGACTAGTCCTCGACTTATGACCAGTTGGGGGTCGCGGCATTACAAAGATTGAGAACCACTGTCCTACACTATATGTGCCTTTTGCATTCCTTGTGTAACGATATAAGAAAAAAAAGGAATAGATCAAAATCATCTTAGCATTACCAAACTAGGTCAAAGATACTGTTAAATAAAGACTACTTCAGAAAAACAGAACAAAACAAAAAAATGAAACGAGTGTTATCCAGACTTTATCAATGATAAATTGAGTCATAAAAGACTTGGGATAGAAACAATATGGAAACAAAAACCGACATTTCCAACCACTCTATTTGACAGTATGACATTAAAAGTGACTAAGAAGCTATAGTAGACAAACCATATGCAGTCATTTAATAAATTGTTAAATGAAAGCACATGGAAGAGAAATTGCCATTAACTTTCATGAAAATAAACTCGTATTTCAAAATGCTAGGCTGACCACTCAGTTTAAAGTTCAACGCTTCCAATTACAATGGGATTATTTTTTGCTTGCCACTCTGCTTTCTGTTTTTTATTATGATTAATTTATAATATAAAATACAAAAATACAAAAGAAAATAGGAAAGATAGGGGTGGGAAAAGGGAAGGAAAAAATGTAGGAAAAAGGGGGTTAAAAAAAAAGACGTTGACTTCCAATTTCCTTTGGTGCAGTAGAATGAGATAATAACATCAAACCTCAACTTTTTATTTTTACATAATAGTATAAACTAGCCATTTCTGTAATAACAAACCTATCCAGTCAGTAAAACCCAAAATCAAAGTTTCATTTTTTTTCCACCTCAAGAATCAGAATGAGAATAGAACTGGAAGGGACCTTGGAGGTCTTCTAGTCCAGCCCCCTGCTCAAGCAGGAGATCCTATACCATTTCAGACAAGTGATTGTCCAGTCTCTTTTAAAAACCTCTAGTGATGAAGCACCCACAACGTCTGAAGACAAACTGTTTTACTGGTTAATTGTTCTCACTGTTAGGAAGTTTCTCCTTAATTCCAGATTGCTTCTCTCCTTCTCATCCATTGTTTCTTGTCCTGGCCTCTGGTGCTTTGGAAAATAAACTGACCCCCTCCTCTTTATGGCACTGTCTCAAATACTGGAATAGTGCTATCATGTCACCCCAGTCCTTCTTTTCTCTAGATTAGCCAAACTCAAATCCTGCAACCGTCCTTCAGGTATTTTAGTCTCCAGGCCTTTAATCATCTTAGTTTCTCTTCTTTGTACTTTTCCAAAGCCTCAACATCTTTTTTGAAATGCGGTAACCAAAACTGGTCCAGTCGTGGCCTTACTAAGGCTTTATAAAGTGGTACTAATACTTCATGTGATTTTGATTCTCTGCCCTTCTTTAAACAACCAAGGATTATATTAGCTTTTGGACTGCTGCCACAAACTGCTTATGTTTAAATAATCATCCACTAGAACTCCAAGGTCCCTCTCACAGGTATTGTTTTTGAGCCAGGTTTCGCCTAATCTGTACTTGCTCCTTTGGTTATTCCTGCCCAGATGTAAAACCTTGCTTTTCTTCACATTAAATTCCATTTTGTTGGATAGGGCCCATTGTTCCAAGTCTGTCAAGATCTTTCTGGATCCTGAGCTTGTCTTCTGGGGTGTTGGTTATTCCTGCCAGCTTAGTGTCATCTGCAAATTTGATGAGTTCCCCTTCTATTCCCTCATCTAAGTCACTGATGAAGATATTAAAGAGTACTGAGCCTAAGACAGAACCTTGTGGTACCCCACTGTTTACTTCCCTCCATATGTAGTAGCAAGCATTTTCAGGACCTGGTATGCCGACTCATTTGGCCAGAGAACATCCTTGTGAGCTGCTTCAAGGATGGCCTCAATGACAATCTGTACAACACTTGTATCGTGAGCCCCCCCCCCCCATGGCTCCACGAATGGTGCATGTCGCAGAGAAAGCTGAAATCGACCAAGCTCGTAATAAGTACCGATCCAGCAGGGCTTGGAAGAAGTCATCCCCAGAGAGGAAGAGAGAGGCAGCCAGAACTCAAGCTCAGCCAGTTCCACTGCCTGTTTCAAGGGTGGGAAGGAGGACCACCAAGCAGCTGAGTGTAGAACAAGAACCCCGGCAAATAAGGGAGAACAGGCAACAGGCGGGGAAGCCACCAAGCCACAGCCTTGTGCAAAGGAGTCAGAGCTGAAAAGCACCGAGGTCGTGAAGTTCGACTCCTCACCCAAATGGGGGTCAGGAACTCCAACCCCACCGGATGAAGACCAAGGGTTCTCTGATACTACGAAGATGACCCCATGGCAAGTTCCGTAGATCCATTCCTACTCGGATGGAAAGCAGAAGAGAGCCCCTGGGAGGATCCAATCATCTTTACAAACTCCTTCCAGAACCTAGCAGTGAACTGGAAATCACCCCCCCCCCCAATCTGAGATGATGTGCTTAGGTGCTCCATGCAGCCAATAGATGTGCTGCAAAAACATCTTCGCTAAGAATGCACAGTAGTGGCCAAAATTGTGGAAACCTTTTGGGAAAATAGAAATGCCACCTTTGGTTAGGTTTCCACCCATTTTTCTTCTAATTTCTTTATAACTGTAGCCGTGTTCACTTCATAATACTATTCTACATCGCTTTCTGAGCAACCAGTCAACTCTTTGCACCATGACTTTAATTTTATTACGTTTTACAAGCTCACTCAATGAAAGAACACAAAAAAACCCAACCAACTTGATAGGGATCACATAACACACTGACAAATGTCCTTCTCTCAGCTTCAATACAGGACATCAATGACTGACTCCTACTGTGATCTGATTGGCTCATTGCCAAAACAAGATGACACCCGATTGGCTCTCTAAACACTCATGCTCATTGGCTACAATTGGATGAAGGAAAGCTACCTGATATCAACCTGAGCAAGTTGTGCTTCCTTTTTCTGGTTATTTGGCTGTAACTTTTCATAGAATAGAAATACAGATAATTGAACAAACTATGTTGCGTTACATTCTTGATTAAATTATCTTTCCATTGATATATAATTTTATGGTACTACTCCCCCCAAAAAAGTGGTGTTATTAGCCATCTGACCTCAAAAATACACTTTTCAACAAAGGTTTCCACAATTTTGGCCACTACTGTATGATAAATGGGGTAAAGTTCCTGGCCTAGAAACCAGGATAGAATGAGTTCTAATCCTGCCCTAGACATGAAAAACTGGCTAGGTAACTTTGGACCAGTCATTCTCTATCAGCCCAACTTACTTCACAAGGATGTTGTTGTGGGGAAAATAGTAGATCAGTGGTTCTCAACCTTTTTAATGCCGCGATCCCCAACCGGTCGTAAGTCGAGGACTACTCAACCAGTCGTAAGTCGAGGACTACTCAACTGGTGCAGCACCGTTTGCAGAATGGGACTTTTGGCAGGCTCAGCAGGGCAGAGACAGCCTGGACAATTCCTATTGGCCTTTGAAAGCCAATAGAATTAGACTCTATTCAAGACAGTCTATTCTATTGGCTTTCAAAAGCCAATAGAATAAAAGGGAGTAGCACAGCTAAGGAAAAGGGGGGAAAAAATGGCGGACTGTGTTGTCTGGAGACCCCCGTGAAATGGTCGTTCGACCCCAAATGGGGTCCCGACCCACAGGTTGAGAACCACTGTAGTAGAGGAAGGAGTATTATGAATGTTTGCCATCTTAAATTAAAGGTGGGATTATAATCTAATAAATAAATAAATGTCCTGAAGCTTTATCTTTACATATGGCATTTACAGTGAGATTACTATATGCTCAAAAGTGGAAAGATGTGATGTTAACAACAAAGGAGGAAGATGACGAAACTTGCAGAGATGGCTAAAATTAACTTCCTTTATCAGAAAAAAAGATCATGAAATGGAAAAAATATATTTAGGACTTGGGATTTTGATGATTATAAAATATGGGATAATAGGAAAAAAGTGAGCTTTTTTGTAAACCTAGATAATTTTGCAATCATACTTTTTTAACTGCTGCAAGAAATCAGAAGCTTCTATTTTTTTTATCTTTCCTTTCTGCACTTGTCTATTTTTATTTCTCTAACTCTTATATTTTCTTTATTCTGTATTTGTTAGTTGTTTTATTTAAAACATAATCATATTTGTGCAGAATAAAATATATATGAAAATTATAAAAATGATGTAAACGTACCAATGCATTTAGGTATAAAATTAAATATTTATATACAAAACTATAGGTAGTCCTCAACTTACAACCATTCATTTGCTGACCGTTCAACGGTAAAATTGCACTGTAAAATGATTTATGACAGGTTTTCACACGACCACTGCAGCATCCCCAGGATCATGTAGCGAAAATTAAGATGCTTGGCAACTGATTCATATTTATGACAGTTGCAGTATCATGAGGTGATCTTTTGCAACTTTCTGACAAGCAAAGTCAATGGGGCAGCCAGATTCACTTGGCAACTGTGTTACTAACTTAACTGCAGTGATTCACTTATCTGTGGCAACAAAAGTCATAAAATGGGGCAAAATTCACTTAACTGTGTTGCTTAGCAACAGAAATTTGGGGCTCTTTGCAGTCGTAAATTGAGGACTACCTGCAATAAATATATAAAAATGTGTGTGTGTGTGTGTGTGTGTGTGTGTACATGTGTATAGATGTATGCATATATGTACATTCATATATACATATACATACATACATATATACATACACATATAAAATAATAACAATAACAATAAGAATAATAATGCAGGTCAACTAGTCCAACCCCCTGCTCAGGCAGGAAACCCTATACCATTTCAGACAAATATATATATACATACATACATATACATACATATATACATATACACATATAAAATAATAACAATAAGAATAACAATAATAATAATAATAATGCAGGTCATCTAGTCCAACCCCCTGCTCAGGCAGGAAACCCTATATCATTTCAGACAAATATACATATATACATATAATACATACATACATACATACATATACATACATATATACATATATACACATACATACATACATATACATATATATACACATATACACATACACACACAAACATATATAAATGTTAAAAATAACTTGAACTAGAGATGTCTAATCTCTATTCAGGTTAAGATATTATTTATTATCTTATTTTCAAGCTATGTTTCAACTAATAAAAAATCAACAGAAACAAAGACCATCTGATTTATTTTTCTTATCAAAGTCACTTAACTTGCACCGGTGTTTTTATTTTTCTAATAAAATCACCACTAAATTTTAAAAAGGCTCCGCAACCAGAGATGTTAATTCAGCAAGTAAATCCTAACTCATTTTGTTTTACTTATGTCTGACATTAATCTGAAAACCACCTAGAGAAAATCTGAGAGTTCATTATAATTTGACCTCTAACCTCATGCGTTCTATGAAGATCTGAACGAGAGGACTTATGATATTTCTAATACCTGACTAGAATCAAAACAGCGCAGGTTGGTAAGGTAAAGCTGAATTAGATTCTGGAAACACTTGCTGACTCTTTGCAGGCTCAAAAGCTGTCTCAGAGGAAGGTGTGGAAGAACACGAGGGAATAAGATGTCTTCCCAAGGCAAATCCAATAAATGTTTCCTGGAATGAAAAAAAAAGCAAAAGCAAGCAAGAAAGTTATTTATGCCCAAGACAGAGTGGAGGTTTACTAACATGTTTTTAAACCATCAGTAAAGCCTTTTTTAAAAAAAATTTTATTTGCCAAACTCTCCCCCATACATATACCGTGATATTTATCAGATGTTAACATACATTCTTTTTACATTCATATATAAGATACTTTTAATAAAATGAAATAAATACATACACAATGACTTTTGGTGTTGGCTCGCCCATTTCCCCTTTCACTGTATCCACACTCCTCCTTCTCTACCTTCTTTCTCCCTTTCTTCTCTTCCCTACTTCCCTCTTCTTCCTCTCTTCTCTTTCCTTGCCTTTTGATCTTTTAAGCACCGAAAATTAAGCCATAAATGCATGCAGTCCGCTCTCGGAGCTGCTGTTAAACGCTCATTCTTTCCCTTTTGCACAGGCATTAAATCCAAGGAATGCTCTGCAGGGCAGAAGGTAAATAAATTACCCTCAAGCCCTGCCTCAAATCGATCTTTTCTCCGGCGGCGCAGGAGAGGCGAGCGAGCAAAACCACCAACCGAGCAAAACCACACTCTGCGCCTCCATCCCTCGTTGCAAGGACTCCAATTGAGCCCGTTTTCGGGGACCAACGGCGGAACAAGAAAGAAACCTGGAAGCCGCCGTTGGGGCAGAGCCCCAGTCCCGCTTAGCGCCAAACAAGCGGCGGGAGCCGTCAAAACGACACCGCCTCAGCCCTCACCCGACCTCCAGCTGCCCAGCCCAGCTCAGCCCTCCCGATTATTCATTCGCGAACCTCGGCGATACCGAAACGGCAGCCATCTTCCGCCACCGCCGCACCTTCCGCGGAAATTACGTCGGTCAGAGGGCGGAAACGGGAACGAGCAGAAGACTGTAGAGATATGGCATAGGAGCCGTGGAAGAGAGATAAGACACTCCTAGCAAAGTGTGGAACCAGTTGGGGTTAAGGACAGGGGTAAGCAACCTTGGCTCTTTTGTGACTCGTGGACTTCAACTCCCAGAATTCCTGAGCCAGCATGGCTCCGCTTGGAAACCTCTCCCTTTCCCCCTCAGCATGGCTGGCTCAGGAATTCTGGGAGTTGAAGTCCACGAGTCATAAAAGAGCCAAGGTTGCCTACCTCTGGCCTAAGCCTAGGCCACTCTATGACTCGTGGACTTCAACTCCCAGAATTCCTGAGCCAGCATGGCTCCGCTTGGAAACCTCTCCCTTTCCCCCTCAGCATGGCTGGCTCAGGAATTCTGGGAATTGAAGTCCACGAGTCATAAAAGAGCCAAGGTGGCCTACCCCTGGTTTAGGAAAACAACCTGCGGAATTGCCCGTAACTCAGAATTCAGATTGAGCTTCGAAATACGACGCCCGGCTGGAAATCAAGAAAACGATTTTGCTGCACTCCAGTTAGATGTGCGGGCAGTGGCTAGTGTTGTGGCCTTGAGAGTAGAAGGATAGGCTTTGAGTCACCAAAAATAGTAGAGGAAGGAGTACTATGAATGTTTGCCACCTTAAGTTAAAGGTGGGATTATAATCTAATAAATAAATAAATGTCATGAAGCTTTATTTTTACATATGGCATTTACAATGAGATTATTATATGCTCAAAAGTGGAAAGATTTGACGTTAACCACAATGGAGGAAGGATTGGTGAAGATGATGAAACTTGCAGAGAAGGCTAAAATTAACTTCTTTATCAGAAAAAAAGATCATGAAATTAACATATTGGACCAAAGACCATGGAATGAAGCCAAAATCTGAATAAAATGGAGGCTTGGAAACAAATTCTCCTGGTTGCTGCTTGGAATCCGCTTGAAACCACCACCAAATGTTAAACTTGTATGCTAGCACAGAACACACTATATAATCGTGGATCACTGTGTAGGCAAAATGTGGGTTCAAAACTCTGATCCTTCTGATTTTGCGGGTTTGTTACATGACAGCATAAGAAACCGTCAAATTACAAAATGTGTTTCTATATGTGCAATGCGCCATGCAACTGTCACAGTAAGAGACTCGAGAACTTTGCTCTCACTTGAGTTTATTTAAATTAGCTCTCTTAATGCTCTTCTAAACTGCATAGCAGGAGTCATTTTATCCCAGTGGTGCTTTTTCAAAAGGCAAATGGACTTTCTTTTTCTTGAAGACATTTCGCTTCTCGTTCAAGAAGCATTCTCAGTTGTGACTAAATGCTGGGTAATGGAAGGAGTTATATTCCTTGTAGTCATCTGGTTGTTAGCAGTTTGAGGCTGGACGCCGTTAGTTCTCTGAGAGCCATTGAGACCCCTTGGGGGTTTATCTGTGCCCTCAGGGTCACCTGAATCAGAGTGCAGGGTGTGGAATCTTTTTGGAACTGCTAAACCAGTGGTTCTCAACCTTTTTAATGCCGCGACCCCCAACCGGTCGTAAGTCGAGGACTACTCAACTGGTGCAGCACCGTTTGCAGAACTGGACTTTTGGCGGGCTCAGCAGGGCAGAGTCAGCCTGGACAATTCCTATTGGCTTTTGAAAGCCAATGGAATTAGACTCTATTCAAGAGAGTCTGTTCTATTGGCTTTCAAAAGCCAATAGAATAAAAGGGAGTAGCACAGCTAAGGAAAAGGGGGAAAAAATGGCGGACTGCATTGTTTGGCGACCCCCGTGAAATGGTCGTTCGACCCCAAATGGAGTCCCGACCCACAGGTTGAGAACCACTGTGCTAAACGGACTGTGTTGTAGACAGGAGATTGTGGTTAGTTGCGAAGTCGTGTCCGACCCATCGCGACCCCATGGACAACGTTCCTTCCTGTCCTCTACCATCTTCTGGATTCCATTTAAGTTCACACCTACTGCTTTAGTGACTCCATCCAGCCATCTCATTCTCTGTCATCCCCTTCTTCTCTTGCCCTCAATCTTTCCCAGCATTAGGCTCTTCTCCAGGGAGTCTTCCTTCTCATTAGGTGGCCAAAGTACTTGAGTTCCAAAGACAGGGGAGACTTGGTGTCATATCCCTCCCCCTCTTTTGAAAGAAGGCTGTTCAGTTTTACCAGATGACCTCTTTTACCTCTCTTTCAAAGCAGTGGTCCTCTCTGTCCAAAATATGGACTTTGCAGTCTTCAAAAGAGTGACCGTTATCTTTCAAATGCAGATGGACTGCTGAATCTTGTCATGATGGGTTTGTTCTATGTTGTGCCATGCATTTGTGAAGTGGCTGTTTTGTTTCTCCAATGTACAGATCTGCACACGTCTCACTGCATTGTACTGCATTGCTCAGTTTGTGTCTGGGTGTTTTATCCTTGGGGTGGACAAGCTTCTGCCTTAGTGTATTCTTGGGTTTAAAGTGTGTATGTATGTTGTGTTGGTTAAAAATCTTCCTGAGCTTTTCAGATATTCCTGCAACATATGGAATGAAAACATTGTTTCCAGCTCCTAGTGGCCCTTTTTCTGGATTTTATGAAGGTCCAGTTAGGATAGCCACAAATTTCCTGATAGTGAAACCATTCATCAGTAGAATGACTTGCCTGCAGAATGAAGGTTTTTAGAAGAGATTGGACAGCCATTTGTCCAGAATAGTATACAGGTAGATTCTCCTGCTTGAGCGGGGTTTGGAAGACCTCCAAAGTCCCTTCCAGCTTTATTCTTCTGCTGTTCTGTTAAAGTATATTTCACTGCTTCACTTGCAAACAGTTAAGCTACTAAATAATCTTTCTGATATACAATTACTTAACAAAAATTATCGTGATTGACAAAGTGCTAGCAGCTACTTGCTGTGTCACTCCAGGAGCCAGTGGAGGACAGGAGAGCCTGGGGTGCTATGGTCCATGGGATCACAAAGAGTCAAATATGATTTAGCAACTGAACAAAAACTTGCTATGGTCTCACTAAAGTCACTCCTTCAACTCAAAACATCAAAAAAGATACACATGTTGCTATCCCCAGAATGTATTCAGTAACTGCTCTTCCATAAATTCAACTAAATTCAACTAATAAGCCTGAGTTGAGTACAGAGGCTCTCCGAAATTCCGAGGGATCGTGTGCATTTTTATTACAATTTGTCATTGATAGCCAGTGATGCAGACTCAGTTCCTATGTCCTTAGCCCTCACATCTTCCATTGAATTCAATCTAGAAGAGATGAATTACACAGATGAATGTGCTATTTACTCCTCTGTGCCTCATCTTATAATGCTGCTGATTTGTCCTCAGACACATAGACTCCAATGGCCATACTAACTGTGAGAGGGATCTAGTTGTCTTAGTGGACCACCATTTACCTTCGACCTAGCAGTATGCTACAGCAGTCATAAAAACCCAATGCATCAAGCGAGGGATAGGATGTTCAAATGGATAATTTGGCTGATCTCATGACAAAGCCATTGAGTATACAGAAACACAAGGATTATTGTGAAACAACTTGATGTAAATGCTGCCCAGCTATACATTGGAGGGGTGTTTAGTTGTTTAAATTTAGTAGATGGAGCAGTGGGGTTATGCAATAAACCAGAACACACAGTTGTGTTTGATTGGTACCATGGAATCCAATCATGAAGCATTCAGGCAGAGGCTTCTTCAAGAGACAGTTCTTTAATTCAATCGAATGAAGTCCTGGGTGGGAACACAATTTGAACACTGGCAGCAGTTGTATTCAGAAGTGCCACATCTTAGAAAGTTAATGCCATCATTTTATAAACTTTGTTAGCCAATCAGACAATAGAGTTATTTACCATATAAGGAAGACAATAAATCATTCCTGTGCGCTCCATTATTCCCTCCTCAGCACATCCGTGTACGTGTTTTCTCATGCTTGCATGAAATTTGTCCCTGATGTAAATGTTGATTACAGAAGTGAGATAACAGAAGTGCACATATTGGAGATCTTGGAGTCTTAGTGGACAATCAATTAAATATGAGCCAACAGTGGCGGCAGCAGCTGAAAAAGCCAATGCAGTCCTAAGTTGCATTAACAGAGGGATTAAATCAAGATCACTCGAGTCTCCACACTATAAAAAAAGATGTTGAGACTCTAGAAAAAGTGCAGAGAAGAGCAACAAAGAAGAATGGAGGACTGGAGGCTAAAACACATGAAGAATGATTATAGGAACTGGGCATGGCTAGTCCAGTGAAGAGAAGGACCAAGGGACACATGATAGCAGTGTTCCAATATTTGAGGGGCTGTCACAGAGAGGAGGTCAACCTATTTTCCAAAGCACCTGAAGGCCAGACAAGGAATAACAGATGGAAACTGATCAAGGAGAGACTCAACCTAGAAATAAGGAGAATTTTTTTGACAGTGAGAACAATCAACCAATGGAACAGTTTGCCTCCAGATGTTGTGGGAGTTTCATCACTGGAAACTTTCAAGAAGAGACTGGACTGCCATCTGTCAGAAATGGTGGAGGGTTGGACTAGATGACCTACAAGGTCCCTTCTAACTCTGTTATTCAAATTCCTAGCTGTAAATAACGTGACCACAGGGATGCTGCAACAATCATAAGTCTGAAAAATGATTATGTCACTTTTTTCAGTGCCATTATAACTTCGGTCACTAAGTGAATTGTTGTAAGTCGAGGACTATTTGTATAAGATAGTAGAATTTTTCCCCAGGTTTATAGTATGGTAAAAATTTCTAAAGCTTTAAATGTTTAAAAAATGACAAATATGCAAATGTGAAAGTGATTCTTCGGCCATCTGCTCTGGTAGAAAAGGTGTAATTTTTTGTATTCTAGCAATAATATGCAATCACATTCCAAAACAATATAAAAAGAGTAGAGAAATCTTTTTTTTTTTAATACTGAGGCAATATTGTCTAAGGCAGTGTTTCTCAACCTTGACAATTTTAAGGCATGTGGACTTCAACTCCCAGAATTCCACAGCCAGCATTGTTGGCTGTGGAATTCTGGGAGTTGAAGTCCACATGCCTTAAAATTATCAAGGTTAAGAAACACTGGTCTAAGGCAGAAGGAGGGGGGGGCAGAGGGGGAGAAAGAGAGAAGGTTGTGTTGTTTGCCTCTAAACCAGTGGTTCTCAACCTTTCTAATGCCATGACCCCATAATACAGTTCCCCATGTTGTCGTGACCCCCAACCACTTATACATCACCATGTGCCAGGGGCGTGGCCAAAGAAAAGGGGAAAAAATGGTGGACAGCCTTGTTTGGCAACCCCCCGTGAAATGGTCGTTCGACCCCAAATGGGGTCCCGACCCACAGGTTGAGAACCACTGCTCTAAACGCACATTTATTAGAAAGAAGTGGAGCTGTTCTTTCAGCACCACGTTAAAATCCCAAGCTGGTTCTTTGCTCTGCCTTATATGCAGCATGTAAGTATTTAAATTCTTCAATTAAACTGCTATTTATGCAAGTCAGTAAGAGCAGAATCTACTTTTCCCTCTCACTTAATTTGCTGCTAAAAACTTGTGTTTATTTTAAAGGTAAACATACTCCTTTTTATCAATCTAAACCAGAAAGCAACTACATTAATCTCTAGTAGTAATTCACACATATGTGTATTCTTACATCAGAAATAAAAGAGCAGCTATCAAGCTATTGACAATGCACATAAGAATACCAGCTCCTTTATCCAACATACACCATGGATCAGAAGATTTGCTCATTCCTTGCATTAAAAAAAATAAATAAACCACTTCAGGCAATGATACTATTGTGCTTCTTTCACACCACTTTTGCTTCTCTATTTATGAATGCACTTTCTCAAGCTTTAGAAATCTCAGGCCACAATAATATTTGCAGGCAAACTGGCTGAGGAATTCTGGGAGTTGAAGTCCACAAGTCATAAAAGGGCCAAGTTTGAAGACCCCTGGTGTACATTGTAAGCCATGAAAGTCGTATTCAATAAGCTGCGTTATCAACGGACGCGGCGATCCCTAGTCCACCGAGAGCGCCAATTCTACGGCCAGATCTGCCGGCCGCTTCACGCATAACCTCGCACTTGGAGAACGACACGCACGAGTCCCCGGCAGGCGCGTTCGCAGACCTGGCCGGGGAGACGCCCGCCGCGTCATCTGGCCGCGAGTCTCCGAGGGCCCCCAAGCCGGTAGATCCCAGTCCTGCCCCGCCGCGCGGCGCCCCTGTGGCCCGCCGAAGACCGCTATGCAACGTAGGCCCGGGTGCCATCGTTCTCCCTTCGTCGCCTCGGGGAATCTCCAGCCGCTGGGGGCGATCCGGCGGCGAACGCTGGTGGAGTAGAGGGCTGCCGCAATCTGAGCGCGGCGTTCCCGGCTCGGCTCTGTTGGGCGGGGTGGGGCGGAGCGCCAGCTCCTGGCTGGGCTCAGGAAAGAAGGAGGCAGCCTAGTTGCAGCGTCCCCGGGTGAGTAAAGCCAGCTCGAGCCTGGCAAAGGCAGTGACAAAGGCGGGGGCTTCTCCGTCGAGGTGGGGGGGGGGGTCCAGATTCAGGAGCCAGGCTGGGAGGTGCATGGGAAGAGGGCGGTTCCCAACGGAGAAAGGCTATAGTGTTAACCATCTGCCGGGCCGGACTTTCCCTGCTTGCGGGGTGGGGTGGGGGGGCTGGGGGGGCGGGAGAGACAGACAGAGGAGGCTCCTCCGAAATGGGTTGCCAAGCAGCTGGGCTCGGAAGGTTTCCTGTGAATGCGACACCGGACCTCGAGGAGGTGAGAACTCGGGGCTTTCCGCCTTTTGTTGGAAGATGCCGGGAAAACGTGACAAGAACATGCTTTTACAGTAAGGAAGGCAAGGACGTTGAATGCCATGTTTTCAAAACCAAGATAGCCCATTTGGCAAATGCGGCCCAGGACAAACCGCGAACTAATTCGCTGATCAGTAAAGATTAGTGTGTATTCTGAGGAGAGAGCTAAGCCCTCTTAAGTTGGAGTATAAGAACACCAAGAAACACAGTTGCTGATGCTCCTTGTGACATGAAGTGCTGGTGCACCTTCATAGTGAGTCCAGAAGAAAGATAGACATTTCCACTGTTCATCCTTTACTCTGTGTAGTGGATGGAACTGGTTAATTGTCACGAATGTCCATGTTTAGGAATGCTGAAGGCAGAATTGAAGAGACATTGTTAAGACCAGTCTTGCTGACTATTTAATCGCAATACAAGCTTCTAATGAGCTCAGGTATTATCTACAATAATGAATGATGTCATTCTTCCCTTCCTAGCCTAAAATTGACAAAAATCAGTTCATAGAAGCAGCATAAGCTTCCCTTCCTGCTTTTACTCAAACTTTTTTTTCCCACTGTATTTGATCTTCCAAGAAATTGTTCCTTGCTGATCCAGATGGGTGTCACATCTATTAAGAGCTGATCCATTGTGAGGATTATCTGATTCTACTCTTAATAGGTAGGAGGGGGGAGGGTAAGAACTGAAAATATAGTTTTCACTATACTAAGAGTGAAACTAGAATGCTAGGCAAAAAAGGCTATGTTTACAGAAAGTTCAGGGAAATATATTCTGTCTTTTTCTTGGTTTGCTCTAGTCAATGAAATAATGAAATTTTATTTTATCATGACAGTATCAGTACACTGCGTGTTGGTGAGATTGGTGAGCAATTGGTGAGATGTGGTATGTTCGTTTGCAAGGTAATCTCTAGATTAGATAAGTTAGCTTGCCCAGAATAAGGTGAGCATGCCTGGCTATTGGTTGCACTTTTGGCACACTGCCTGTGACTGCTTTGTGTCCTTAACATTAGCAAGAAATGTTGCATATTGCATGGGCGCAATTGAAGATAGTCACCTGGTGTACCCTAGCTTATTAAAAAGCATTATGTGAATGCCTCATTTGACAATGCCATGTTTAATAGAATGGTTTTGATTGAAGTAGACAACTGTTTTGGAAATCAGTAAAATATTCTAACCGAAGAGCTTCCTGCAGGATGAATAGAATAAGTGTTAATATAGGAATGAAACTAAAATAGGGGATTTTGGAGAAGGAATTTCAGGGTTATGTGAATAATGGTATCTCAAACAGAAGAATTGAAATTGATGATATAAATGCCAGTTTTTAAACTAATAAAATGGAAATCATACATTCCGAGAGCGTTAGAAAAATGATAAAGCTGCAGGTAGAGAGTCCTTAAAGATTATTGTTGCTTATGGAATGGAAGTGCAATTTCTTTACCATATATGCAAATTACATATACATTGGAACAATGCAGTAACATTTTCCATGTGCAAAGAGAGAAACAACAAAAGTCAAATATGTTTATAAAGTGTACCTGTGAAAATAATTTGACAGAATTCTAGTATGAGCAAAATGTCAAACTGCTGTGTCAACATTTCAGAGACATTTCTTACCAGATTCCTCAATGTCTTCAACAATGACAGAATAAAACACTAGAATAATTCTTAAATATTCAGGGATATAGTCAGAGATGTATCTGCCTTGAAAATAGTTTTATGTTGAACTATATGACATAGTCAAACACCAGTACAGGAAATGTTTTAAGACCTTTTGTATTATGTCATAGACTATGATAATGTTTATGTCATAACATTTCAGTTCCACGGGAATCCTAGGACCCAGATTTTGGATGCGTTATGTAAATGAGTTCATTTGAGGTTCAAACATTTGGCCTTATGATGCACTGTTTCACCAAGTTTATAGGAATCAGACGTCAAGCTGCAAAGAAATCCTATTCTGCTTCAGCCATGTTTGTTCTTATTAGCTTGCCAACAGATCTTGGGGGGAGGGTGATTGGAATGTGTGTGGAGTTGTTCAATCTGGGAAGCAAGGTCATCCTTCAAGATTGTTACTAAGCAACGAAGGATTTTTCTCATGGTGCTTAACTAGGGAATGTGACTTGCACTGTCAGGGGAAAAGGGAGTTTCTATACTTTTAATTCACTGTTCTGGTGCCAAATCGCCAGAGCTGTTTTTCTCACCAGTGCCGGTATGTTGTACTCAATAAAGTTTTGCATTAGAGATTGCAATGTCTCAGCTGTGCTTACTTCGTTGGAATCGTCAGCCAGAATCTTCACATTAAAACAGCTCTCTTTTCAACCTCAATTCTAACTAAGTGGTCCTAAGCCCCTAGACCCCATCTGACTAACTCCAGAGGGGTAGCGAAGACTCAGCAGAAGATGCCCGAGATGGAACAACTTCCCCTTGTGAATTCTGGGGTAGGATTCGCTTAACTTTGTAATGCATTTCCCCTTCTACCCTTATTGGGTTGGGAGCTGCCGTCCCTACTGGCCTCATTGTGGATTCCTTATAGGGCTTCAATAAGCTACAATGGAACACCGGGTGCACCTTACCCACCGCGACAATTTTAGCTCTACTGTCACCGGATTAATGACTTTCATTATGAGGAAAGGACCTATGTACTTTGGTCGTAATTTCTTGAAACTTTGTCTCAGCTTAAGAGACTTTATAGACAAATACACCTTATTCTCTATATGGAACATCTCCTGTGGAGCCCGTTTCTTATCTGCCTGTTGTTTCTGACTCTCAGTTGCTTTGACTAAAGTTTTCTTCACAATACTCCAGACTCGCTGGAACAAACCTATCCAGTTGCTCAGGGTACTTGAGGAGGGAGGCTCCTGTGGGCACTCTGGTATTTGCACAAAATCCACCCCCTGATGCTAACATTGGTATTTGCACAAAATCCACCCCCTGATGCTAACATAAGAGGGGTGAACCCAGTGCTAGTGTGCACTGGATTGTTATATGGTACTTCAGCAAATGGCAACAACTCTGCCCAGTTTGTTTGCTGGTAGTTGACATAGCAATGCAGGTACGGCTCTACTATAGCATTGGTCTGTTCTGCAGATCCATTCATACTCAGATGAAATGCAGAGCTGAACCCCTGGGAGGATCCAATCCTCCTCACAAACTCCCCCCGAGAACTTGGGCTATAAACTGGACCCCCCCCCCAATCTGAAATAATTCACCTAGGTGCTCCGTGCAATTGGTAGATGTGTTGTAAGAACATCTTCACGAGCTTCTGGGCTGAGGGGAGACCAATGCAGGCGATGAAATGGGCTTGCTTGGAAATCAGGTCTATCACGGTCCAAATTACACTGCTCCCTCCACTCTATGGTAGCTTTACTATAAAGTCCATGGCTACCTCCTCCCACAGTCTAGCCGGGTCGGCCACCTTCTGTAGAAGTCCTGGACTTCTCCCTGGCAGTCTTTTGCTAGCAGCACAAACAGCACAGTTCCTCATGTAACTCTCAATGTTTTTCTTCATCTTTGGTCACCAGAACTGATGATTTACCAGGTGTAGTGTTTTTAGGAAACCAAAGTGACCTGCCTGCTTGGCATCATGGCTGCATTGTAGAACCTGAAGCCTCAGATGGCTGGGGATGTACAGCATGGGCATGACTTCTACCCCAGTGGCTATCTTAAACAGGGTTAATCCTGTGCTACTGTGTACTCCATTGTTGTATGCCACTTCAGCTAATGGCAGGAGCTCTGTCCAGTTAGATTGCTGATACAGTAGTTGACATAGCAGCACAGATACTGCTCTACCATAGCATTGGCTCGTTCAGCAGCTCCATTCATACTTGGATGAAAAGCTGAACTGAGGCCTGGGAGGACCCTATCAGCCTTATAAATTCCCGCCAAAATCTTGCTGTAAATTGGACCCTTTAATCTGAAACAATGTCCACTATAGTCCAGATCACCGTGTTTACTCCACTCTCTGGAACTTTGACTATAAAGTCCATAGCTATCTCCTCCCAAGGCCAGGTTGGTTCGGCTACTCACTGCAACAACCCCAGACTCTTTCCTGTCATTTGCTTCATGGCAGCACACACTGCACAGCTTTGTTCATAATTATGTCCTTCTTCATCCCTGGCCATCAGAATTGCCATTCGGCTTGGTGTAAGGTTTTCAGGAACACGAACTGGCCAGCTAGTTTAGCATTGTGACTCTTCTGTAGAACTTGTATTCGTAGTCCATCTGGGACATATAGCTTGTCCCCCTTCCAGGCAAAAAACCCTCTCGAAGTTAATTCCCCTTGGGCTCTGAACCATACATCAGTTTGCAGTTCTTTCTTTATCTGCTGCGTAAAAAGTGTCACAAGGGGGGGGGTGTTTTTCCTTTTTGCCTGTCGCCTGGTGGTTACTTGTTCCACCAGTTGTTTCGTGGGGATAATCATGTTCACCACCTCCTCTTGGTTACTTTTATACTGAGGCATACAAAAGTACATCAGCAAGGAAATTTTTCATCCTAGAATGTATTTCAAGTCGAAGTCAAGCCAACTGAAATATTGAATCAACCGTACCTGTTTAGGGGAGAGTTATGGGGGGAGTCCTCAGTGCTTCTATATTTTTTTGGTCAGTCCATATTTCAAAGGGAACCTTACTCCCCTCCAGAAACTGTCTCCATGTCAGTAGTGCCCAGTGAACTGTGAAGGCTTCCTTTTCCCACATGTCCCTAGATCTAGACAGTGCGCCTAAAAAACTATAGATCAGTGGTTCTCAACCTTTTTAATGCCACGATCCCCAACCGGTCGTAAGTCGAGGACTACTCAACCGGCCGTAAGTCGAGGACTACTCAACTGGTGCAGCCCCGTTTGCAGAATGGGACTTTTGGCGGGCTCAGCAGGGCAGAGACAGCCTGGACAATTCCTATTGGCTTTTGAAAGCCAATAGAATTAGACTCTATTCAAGAGAGTCTATTCTATTGGCTTTCAAAAGCCAATAGAATAAAAGGGAGTAGCACAGCTAAGGAAAAGGGGGAAAAAATGGCGGACTGCGTTGTTTGGTGACCCCCGTGAAATGGTCGTTCGACCCCAAATGGGGTCCCAACCCACAGGTTGAGAACCACTGCTATAGATGGAGGTTCATAACATTGTACAGGACACAGCAATTAAAACCATCCCAAAGAAAAAGAGATGCAGAAAGCAAAGTGGCTGTCTGATGAGGCCTTATAAATACCTGAGGAAAGAAGGAAAGCAAAAGGCAAAGATATACCCAAGTGAATGCAGATTTCCAGAGAATAGCAAGGAGAGATAAGAAGGCCTTCTTGAACGAACAATGCAAACAGAGGAAAAGAATAAAATGGGAAAGATTAGAGATCTCTCAAAAAATTGGAGTTCTCAAGGGAACATTTTGTGCAAAGGTGATCATGATAAAGGACAAAAAAAGGTTGAGACATAACAGAAGCAGAAGAAATTAAGAAGAGGTGGCGAGAAGACACAGAAGAATTATACAAGATCTTAATGTCCCTGATAACCATGATGGTGTGATGACTGACCATAAGCCAGACATCCTGAAGCCAAGTACGCCTTGACTTGACCAACGGAGTCCTCCGAAAATGGGGTAACACTTTCTCTGTATGGAAGTTTATGGCAATTTCCTGGGTAGTGAAAGCAATCTGATTTGATTTACATTTACAATTGGATTTTCACCACAGAGATTCTGTGTTTTATTAATTTTTAAAAGCTCTGGTATTATTATTATTTTTAATTTTTGATGGACATTTCCCTTTTTTCCATCTATTTTTATTGTGGGAAACATTATCTCAACATTCTCTGTGGTTATTCTGGCATGCTATATCTAATTCCCCTGCCCATGACAGAAACTGTTTATGCTTCACTGTGAAAGCTCAGTTACAAGCAATATTCTCCTTTTTTTAAAATATACATGGAGCCAAAACTTAATTGTACTTAGCCAACATATGCTGATTAGTAAGCTAATAAAGTGTGAGCAGGATGGCATGACAATTAGGTTGATATGTAATTGTTTCAGAGATGATTCAGAGCACTGATCAATGGTTCCTCATTAAACTGGAAACAGGTATCAGTCATATTTCCCCTACATTTCAATCCTGTAATGTAAATAATGCATTTGATGAATAGGTGGAGGGAATCCTTATCAGATATGGAATGGCCCAAAATTGTTGGGATACTTAAGAGAAGGCAAATAATATGTTGGAAAAATGGTAACAAGATCAACTTTAACAAAGATAAGCTTTTTCAACCAGGAAGCCAAAGTCAAGCACAATGGTATAGAATAGGTGAATTCTGGTTGGGTAATGATCTAGGAACAGCAGTTTATTATAAACTTAACAAGAGCTAGTAGTGTGGTATGGTTGCAAAAAATGAAGTGAAATGAAATATTAGACTACATAAGCAGACGTCTAATTTCTAATCACATGAAGTAATTATTCCGTTTTATTCTGTTATGGACAGATTCCTCTTCATTGTATTCTTCAGATGCCTGCGAGAATATCATAAGAGAAGATCAAGCCCTCCTTTCTCTAGTTTCAGAGCATTGGATACAAAATAATAGACTTAAATAACAGATTGTAACAGAATGCTGGGAGGGGGAATCTTAATATTAAAAGTAATTTAACAATGGAAATAGTTATCCAGAGAGCGAACAAATATATTCATTGGATATATTCATATAGAACAGTGGTTCTCAACCTCTTTAATGCCGCGACCCCCAACCGGTCGTAAGTCGAGGACTACCCAACCAGTCGTAAGTTGAGGATTACCCAACCGGTCGTAAGTCGAGGACTTTCCGTGCCCAAGAGCGCCGCGCATGCGTGGTGCCGCCCCCTGCGCCGGCCGAGGCATAGCTGGCAAGTGGCAGAGACGGCGCAGGCCAACCACCGGCTGGGCCACCAGCTGGCCCAGCCCAAGGGAGGTAAGGCACCCGCCGGGCCCCATGTGCGCCAGCAACCCTCCCTGCGCCCGCTGGCCTCCCACCTCCCACCCCGGCCCTCTTTTACTTACATTTTTAGTAGTTGCTCAGCAGGGAGGGGTGGAAACTTCCAGACAGCTCCCCTTCGCTGCAGATAACTTGCAGCACTGTTTGCAGACTGGGGCTTTTGGCAGGCTCAGCAGGGCAGAGACAGCCTGGACAATTCCTATTGGCTTTTGAAAGCCAATAGAATTAGACTCTATTCAAGAGAGTCTATTCTATTGGCTTTCAAAAGCCAATAGAATAAAAGGGAGTAGCACAGCTAAGGAAAAGGGGGAAAAAATGGCGGACTGCGTTGTTTGGCGACCCCCGTGAAATGGTCGTTCGACCCCAAATGGGGTCCCGACCTACAGGTTGAGAACCGCTGTTATAGAAGCTACACAGCTATCTGTCTAGATTATTTTAACTTGGATTCTTATACTGCCCTTGGGTTGAGCTTGATAGTGTAAACAAATTCTTCCAATTCAATATTTCTATAATTTTGTGCTATTAGTAAGGAAAAAGTAAGAGAAAGGGGGGGTCCCACAATAAAATCTGGTGTTGAAATGAATGCCAAAGGGGACATATTTCTGTCCTTGTTTCTACCATGATACAGGATAGGACTTGCTTTCTTTGGTTTGGTCTTGTAATAAAATGTTTATGACATCTTGCTCTCTTTTTGTCTGTTTCAGGGCCATGTAATGCTGCTACTTCTCTTAGATTTATCAACTTGGCATTTGGAAAGTTGTTTCTGTGCCTAGTTCTTTTTCCTTTTTGCTCCAGCTCATTCTTCCAAGATGGCCCAGGATGGAGCAGTTATGTGCTTCCATCCTAACCATGCTATGTCATGCCAACGCTATGTTCAAGCAATGGAGAAGACATCCCAGCTTCCTCGTTCCAAGAATGTGATACCTGCTTCTTTTAATCCTTATCATAGTCTCTCACCCAATGCTGGCCGGATTCATTTCCTCCGCAAGGGATTAACTGCTGAACCTTTGCGATCCCAGCTTGGCATATATAACAGTACTGGCTCTCTAACACAGAAGCTAACGAAGATGAGTAACTTTGGAAATGGCAGCTGTCTCATCTCAGGAAGAGTAACAGCTCCGTGTACTCCATTAAGAAGTTCCCCATGTCCCTCAGGCAATCAAGTCCCCCTGGTAGTCCCAGTCACTGGTGGTCAAAGTTCTGTGGTGACCTTTCGCTTTATTGAGAAGGCCAATGTGAAAACTTTAAATGGCTTCCCGCTGATGGAACCCAGGAAAGAAAACGGTTTGAGCAGAAGTTTGGAATCTGAAGAGGATTTTCACTTTGAGCCCAATACGCCAAGGAGCCAAAAGACAAACGTTCAGACACAATATTCCTCACAGAACAAAGTCACGGCATCCCTGAATCCTGTCATTTTGGATAACAAAGTGGGCTTCAAAGCCCAGACAGATAAATCCTCTTTGACCATGACAACTGAACAGGACCCAGTGGTTCTCAGTGGTAAGCAGGAGCGTCTTGAGTTTAAGCCAAAACCAGAGATATCTGCTTCAGATCCTCTTCTTGCTGGAAACAGATGTCTTGTAAATGCACAGCCCGCTTTGAGTCAGGGTAATGGAACTCCACTTTCTCTTGGTGCCAGTTGCCCTTCCAGCTCCCTCACTGATGGGATGAGCAGTCTATCTAATGATCTCTTGTGCCATCAAAGACACACACAGAGCAGGGAGCCACAGTACCAGGTACTTAGTAAGTCCAAATATTTTCTTGCCAAAAATATTATCTAAATCTAGATAATGGAAATCTCACATCTAGGGATCCTCCTAAATAAAAAAAAAATCTCTGTCTTTTCTACAGGGAAGCTTGTGGGCATATTCACGTGAAAGCTCTGTCCATGCCCAGCGTGTTGCCAAGGCCAAATGGGAATTCTTCTATGGCTCAGTAGAATCTCCTAAGACAGGTAACCCACTTGCTGCTACTGCATTATGACAAATATTTCTTAATGATCCATCACCATGAAATGATGTTCTGAGCTGATGTTTGTTATAGATAATGTAAGTATTGTAGAACGCCTATGTCAGTGATGGCGAACCTTTTAGAGACCGAGTGCCCAAACTGCAACCCAAAACCCACTTATGCATCATCGGGTGCCGGGTGGGTGTGGCCCATTGGGTGAGTGTGGCCCATTGGGTGGATGTGGCTGCTGTGGTAACAGCAAACTGGGTGGGACTAAAAAGTTCAATCAATCAATTCCAACTTTGCAAGATCTTTGTTTTTTCCCGTGAGAAGTTGAAATTGACTGATTGATTGAACCTTTTTTTTGTACATGGCAGCAGAGGCCTAAAGCAAAAAGGTTTTATAAAACCCAGCTGAAGGCCTAGGACTGGGGCAACGGTGTGCGTGCCCACAGAGAGGGATCTGAGTGCCGCCTCTGGCACCCATGCCATAGGTTCGCCACCACTGGCCTATGTACTTGTATGTTGAAAGAACACTGTTTTGCATAATATACTAACCATAAGAAATAAGCTCTCTTTTGCTGAATGTCAGTAAAAAATACTAACCTGAAACTCAGTAGTAAAAATCTCCAGAAACTTCAGATGCATGAGTAAAAATAAGGTATTTAGGTGTACTAAAAACTCGTTGAAAAGGATCTTCTTTCAGTTCTTGTTGGTTGCAGCTGCAGTTGAATAGTAGTACTTACTTTTTTTTAACCTGAGTTCCATAGATGAGCCTCCTATTGAATCTGTTCAAGCTCCATGTTGAGTAAAGAATGCTAGATGTCAAAGCTAATCTCTACTTAAATTATGTTATTTAATTTCAATATATTTGAATCATTCAGTTAAAATCAGCAGCTTATAAAAATGAATAATTTCAGATGAATCTATCTCAAGAAAAATCAATTTGAGAGCCTAAGAAATAGAAAGACTGAACATATTTTCACAGGAGATATATATTGTATAGCTATTCCTCTTACATTGCTATGTCTCAAAGGAGCAATTGATGAAACCTCTACTTCTTGTTGAAAATATCTCTCTTCAGTCTTCACTGCATTTTCAATTTGAAATTTGGGGTTTGTTCTCTGGAAATAATCCTTGCAATGCGAGCAATACTATGACCAAATTCACTGCCTGATTTTATGAATATAAAACTGGAACTCTTCTTGCGAATAGATACTGAACATGCAATGAGGAGGACAGGCTGTAGGAAGGAGGACTGGTTGATGTTAACCATACAAAGTGGCAGAAGGAGATATGTGGTTCTCAAAAACTTTTACTCATGAATGAATTTATTTGTGAAATAATATTCATGATTACGAAGTACAGTGGAATTATTTTTAAGGATTTTCTATTGGCAGAGCGCCCCTAGCATTCCTAATTCAAAGGCACTGTGCAACTATTCATACCTGTGATATGAAACTATGGAAATAATAATTAGAATTAATCGAAGGCATGAAATTAAAAGGAGAGGGGTTGGTAATACAACAGCATGTCCAGCCCACTGTGTCTAGCAGCGAGAGCATGCTCCAGGCACCTTCCATCAAACAATGCCATCTTGTTGAACCCTGGAGCTGAGCCTTCTCTGTGGCTGCATCTGCCTCTGGAATAGCAACCATCCAGTGATCCAGTTGGCCCCAACTTTGGTAAGGCTTTGAAGATCAGGCTTTCCCCAGGAATTTGGGCCAGAAGGTAAAATGAACTCAGTTGATGCAGCTTTTTGGTTTAGGTCTTTTTGTTTTGAGCCAGCTATCATGGATTATACACTATGGTGGATTTAATGTTTTGTTTACTGCCCAGAATCACCGTTGTGAAACAGGTGGCTCCAAAACTCGTATAAATAAGTGAATGATATGTTGGGAATTATCTGATGCCTTTTAGCTACTTATATTGTAAATAAGCACCATTTAATAAAGTTATAAACCTAACATTATACTTTAATAACTATGACAATGTTTGAGATAAGTAGTGTTGATATAGGACAGTGGTTCTCAACCTGTGGGTCGGGACCCCATTTGGGGTCGAACGACCATTTCACGGGGGTCGCCAGACAACGCAGTCCGCCATTTTTTCCCCCCTTTTCCTTAGCTGTGCTACTCCCTTTTATTCTATTGGCTTTTGAAAGCCAACAGAATAGACTCTCTTGAATAGAGTCTAATTCTATTGGCTTTCAAAAGCCAATAGGAATTGTCCAGGCTGTCTCTGCCCTGCTGAGCCCGCCAAAAGTCCCATTCTGCAAACGATGCTGCACCAGTTGAGTAGTCCTCGACTTACGACCGGTTGGGGGGTCGCAGCATTAAAAAGGTTGAGAACCACTGATATAGAAGTACTGGACAAATGTTATACATAAAGAGCCAGAATCATTTCGGAACCATACGTACATTTTGTTTGTAATACGGAATCTCTGTAATTCCAGGGATGCCATCTGAGAGTGCACTTGATCCTTCACCCCAGCTGCTTGAGAAATCCAAACTCTCAGTGCAACAAAACCCAGATGAGATGAGGCCAGAACACAGTCTATGTCATGTAGAGGTAGAAATTGAGGTGACCCCACCAAAGCTTGAAAACTGCGAAACTGGAATAATCCGCAGAACCGTGAAGTATTCAGAGACTGATCTGGACTCTGTCCCCTTGAGATGCTACCATGAGACAAACATTGATGATATTTTGGCTGAGAAGGAAGAAGTGGATTCAGCCATTGAGAGCCAGAAGGACAGCGAGAGCAATTTCAGTTCCATGGGAATTCCAAGGAAATTAAACCCGGTTCCAAGTGGCCTCTTTTTTCAGCACGCTGTGGAAGAGGATAGCAAACCTTTAGACAACAAGAATCAGGGAAATAAATACAGTGAAATATCTGAAGCCATGGTACCTCAGCAGGAGAGGTGAGGATTTCTCCAAGCGTGGCAATAGAGCAGTGGTTCTCAACCTGTGGGTCGGGACCCCATCTGGGGTCGAACGACCATTTCACGGGGGTCACCAAACAACGCAGTCCACCATTTTTCCCCCTTTTCCTTAGCTGTGCTACTCCCTTTTATTCTATTGGCTTTTGAAAGCCAATAGAATAGACTCTCTTGAATAGAGTCTAATTCTATTGGCTTCAAAAGTCAATAGGAATTGTCCAGGCTGTCTCTGCCCTGCTGAGCCCGCCAAAAGTTCCATTCTGCAAACGGTGCTGCACCAGTTGAGTAGTCCTCGACTTAGGACCGGTTGAGTAGTCCTCAACTTACGACTGGTTGGGGGTCGCGGCATTAAAAAGGTTGAGAACCACTGCAGTAGAGTGACAGCAGTGCCTATTGTTTGCCAGTTAGTTTGATCTCCGACCCTGGCAATTTGGCTGCAAACATTTCATCTCCATTGGGGGGGGAACATCTTCAATCCCAAATGGAGCATAAAGAGAAGTGCCAGGTATTCCATCTTGGGTTTGGGACTTGTTATCGGTGAATGGGCAATGGTGTGACGATTAGAAAGCAATTATTGAAAGGATGGCAGCCTACTGAACTATGATAATGAAAGTTTTATTTTATTGTAACTATAGTTACACCCTGGTTTTGTTTTACTTTGTTTTTACTCTAAATTAAGAGCAAGCTGAAACTTACTGTGGTGTTAATACTCTGAAAATCTAACCATCTCCTTTGCCTTTCTCAACTGGGCTTCCACAATCTCTCTATGAGAGATTGTGATTAGAAAACAAATAAACATTGCTTGTTTGAATTTAATGTGCTGCACAAGACTAGAATTCCCAGGGACAGGAATTTTTATGCACAGCCATTCTGCTGCTGACCTGCCACTTTGCTGTAAAACATGTGTGCTGTAAATTAAATGAACGATATTGTGAGGTTTTCTAAATGGTTTGCAATTTTTATGCAGGGGTTCGTTGAGTCCTAAAAATAAGGTTGAGAAAAACTAATATAACTTCTCTTTCTTTTCTCTTTACCACCACATATCATCACCAGGTCAAGCAACAGAAATTCTCAATTACTCAAGTCTCCTGTGTCTTTCTTCTTTGGGCAAAACATTTCCAAGGATAGTATGGATTCATTCAGCAAGCATTTTGAGAGCATCATGGAATCACATCGAGCCAAAGGAACCTCTTATACCAGCCTAGATTCTATAGATATCCTGTCTTCTCCCACTCATACACAAAATGAAACTGTCTTCTCCTTTGATCTTCCGACTCTTACCCCAGAAATTCACAAGGACTTTCAAGACAGCACTAAACTCATTGAGCAGAATTTTGCCCCTCTAGCTTTTCTGGAGCCAGATTCTGGAACCAGTTCTGCCACAGATGTCCCTTGGGCTGAACGGGAAGAGGAAGCAAAACAAAAATGGAAAAGTAGCTTGCAGAGTCCCTGCCATTCAGAGGGCAGTTTAGGAATTCCTCTGACCTCCATCATAAGGTGAGTGAGTAACATTAATTCCAGGTAGTGCATGAAGTGAAATGTAAAATATCTTGTAATTGTTTAGCTGATCATCTCTTTCTTTTGGATATGTGTTGTTGGACAGAAATTGCTTGAAAATGTGGACTGACTGGCATTTTTTTCCAGTGTTCATTGGTCTAATGAGAAAGACAATGTGACAATCAATAGAGTAAAGTAGAGTAGAGTAGAGTAAGAATAGAATAGAGTAGAGTAGAATAGAATAGAATAGAACAGAACAGAACAGAACAGAACAGAACAGAACAGAATAGAATAGAATAGAATAGAATATAGGAATGAAGAATAGAAAAGACGGTGATTGGTGAGGGGTCCTTGCTGTTCCCTGAGCTTGGTTGTTTTTATGCAGGCATTTCATTACCCAACCTAGATAACATCATCAAACTAGGTCAGAGCTTTTCAACCAGTGATACGGGTACCACCTGTGGTACATTGGCACCTGGCAGGTGGTACGCGACCATCCTATAAAAGTGGTAGCGGGCAAGGGGAATGAGCTGAACCGGTGGCAGCACCGCACAAGCCTGAGTGAGAGATGGCTGGAGCTGCAGGGCTGTCAGGGCTCAGTGGACGCACCAGGATCAGCGCCAGGCTCCAGCTGGAGCTCGGCGCTGATCCTGGTGCGTCTGCTGAGCCCTGAAGAAGCACCAATCAGCTGGAATGTTGCCTTATCTCCAGGGTCTTGTGATTTACATTCAGATGCGTGGCAACTGATTCATATTTATGACGGTCACAGTGTCCCAGGGTCATGTGAAGTGCCAAAACCTGCTGCTACCACCCATCAGACAGGGGGAATAAAAACCACACACACCTCATCCCACCCCCACTGCCAATCCTCAACAGAAATGCTCACAACAATGGAAACCTCAGACAGGAGGAAGAGCTCCGCTAGGTGGGCAGGCAGGTGTCTTGTTCGGCTGTGGCTTGGGGGGCACTTTTTTCAGTTCCATTGTAATTTCGAACAGTCACTAAGCGAACTGTTGTAAGTCGAGGACTACCTGTACTTCATCACTTTTTTCCCTTTTTTTTTTGGGTCATCAAGTTTTTGACACCTCGCTAGGCGACTGGTGGAGCTCAGGTATTGCCATATCTGAAAAGTGGTACAGTGGGTGAAAAGGTTGAAAAGCCCTGAACTAGATAACAAACTAGAGTGGGGTTTTCTCTCACTTTACTAATGGCTTGCTTCACAGTGATCGGTAAAATCAGTAAGGCAAGACAATATTGACAGGTGATAACTCTATTAAAAATTCATTCTATAATATCTTCTCAAATTTGTACAAGAAAAAGGACATGGACTTACACAAAAAAATAGATGAATATCTTTTAAAACAACAAGTAACTATCTAAAGCTTTCACAGGTGCAAAAGCAACTTATGAATGATCCTATAACTATTTTTGAAATATCAGAGGTCCCAGGCCCAGATGGACTTTCAAATCAATATTATAAATGTTTTGAAGACCAGCTGCTACAGCCATTGAAAGAGGCAATTAATTCTATATTACAGGGATCTGAATGCCTCAATCATGCAGGGAAGCTAATATTGCCCTGCTTCCAAAGGAAGGTCAAGATGCTACATTGATAGATTTCTTTATTAAATAATGATTATAAACTTTTTATAAACTGGGGGAGAGATTAAAGATTTATCAGAACTTTATACATGAGAACCAATCTACTGAAAAAGTAATGTAAGAATGGTCCTCAGTGTTACTGAATATTTGCAATATCATAATGAAATCTAGGCAGCCTTAACAGTCTTAGAGGTGGGGAAACACTTTTAACAATCTAAATTGGGCTTTGCTCTTTAGACCTTTAGATGAAATGGATTTTGGAAAGCAATTTATTCAAGGTATTACTTCAATTTACACATCCCAACATGTGCATATTATTGTTAATGGCAAATTGACTAAAATATGTGAGATTCAAAAAATTACAAAACGAGGTTGCCCTGGTCACCACTGCTTTTTTACAATAAAAAAAGATCTTTTAATTTAAGATTAGAATTTTCACACCAGTTATTTTGTCATCTCATCTGATATCTCTATTTAAAACCACTAAGACTAGAGGTTGCAAACAGAGACATCAGAGGAGATAACAAAATAACTGGTGTGAAAATACTAATCTTAAATAAAAATAATCTTTTTTTATTCTAAAGAAGAAATCAGTAAAGAGACTTGTAAGTAAAAGCCTTTCCTTAGTTATATTTCTGCAAGCTCCCCCAAATAGTTTGGTGTATTTGATGAAGAAGTTGAATGATTTTGGAGCTTCAGTTACTTTTAAAATAAACAGTAAACAAAGATGTTAATCAAGTATATGGCTGCATTTGAGCATGAAATGTTAACAAAAAAATCAGGTATTAAGGTGGAAAGGAAGATTAAATATCTTGGAGTGATATGGTCCGTACAAAAACTAAATTGTTTCAAAATAACTACATACCTATTTGGACTGATATTAAGAAAGATTTAATAAGGTGGGATAAATTGCAACTATATCTGATGAGCAGGATCTCTGTGATCAAGATGAATATCCTATCAAAGATGCTGTTTTTATTTCAATCAAATAACTTATGGGGGTCATCAACCAGCAGAAAGAAAGAAGAAAAATAGTCTTCAAATATCCAGAACATCCAGAAATAAACAAGGAGTGATACACAGAAAATTAAAATTCTTATTAATTAAAACTAACCTAAAATATAGAATTATAGATCCCCTAACAAATCTGAGGAAAATAACTGACATTAAAAAAATGATCAGTGGATAATGGTGAGGAAAAGGCATTTCCTACTCAAACAAGCTCAACTGGTGTTAATTATACTTTGTCTAATTATGTCAGACGCAGAACCTGATAATCTTATATACTATTTCAGGATTAATGTCAGAAAGAAAGAATTGATTATAATGCTGGTCATTATATCTGGTTTTGCGAGCCCAGAGTGGTGCAATTAGAGTGTATTTTTATTTGACCTTGCCAATATTGATGACTGAGGCTCCATTCAAGCAATAGCTAGGGTATATTTCTAAATTTATTTGGCAAGGATTAAGTATAAATTATCGCAAGATGCCATAGAAAGAGATGGTCTAAGGATAGGTACAATAAAGATAGATACAATAAAGGATCCCTATACCTATTACTATACATGCTAACAGCAGCAAGATTAGTCTTCGCACAGAGATGGAGACACCCTCAGAAGAAGAGGTAATAAATAAGATTTTTTCCTGTGCTGAAATGGATAGGTTGACGCTAGAACTCAAGGATAAGAGTGAAACAGATTATTATGAAATCTGGAACAAATTGTATAATTGGTTGGGGAAAAATAGATGGAAAAACTCTCCAATTTAGCAAAACACATTGATCAAGGAAGATGCTGATCAAAGGAAAAATATTAAAATATTAAAGTGAAAATTAAGAATACAGATGACGGGATCCACTAGAGAGACTATTTAAGAAAAATAGAAACATTTGTTTGAATATGTGGATTATGAATTATAGAAATCAATTGTCAACGATTTTTCTTTACAAATGTAAACCAAGCAAACACACTGTTAACCAACTATTATGTGATTTATGTTTTAAAAACCAATAAAACTTATTTTTAAAAAAGAAAGAGATGGTCTAGGTCTCCCAGATTTAATATTGTATTTTGAGGCATATTGCTTGAAGGAATGGGTGACCTTAAAGAATATTGTATTTGGAAGGTCATGAACTGAGATTTGTATGGCATGCCTATCTGTGGTTTGATCAAGGTATGTGGATTTCAAAAATCACTTTGTAAGGTGTGCCATTTACAGAGTTTGGTATAAATACAAAGAATTTATTATAAATAAAAGGAATGTCACCTCAGGAACGCTTTTTTTTTAGAAAGGAAATGACAGTGAGCCCTAATAGGGATATTTATAGTGAAATAATATCCTTTCTTCAAGGACAACCACTCTCAAATCAAAAGAAACTCGAAGTTAGAAGGTAATATATCAGTGATGACGAACCTTTTAGAGACCGAGTGCCCAAACTGCAACCCAAAACCCACTTCTGCATCATCGGGTGCTGGGTGGGCATGGCCCATTGGGTAGGCGTGGCTGCAGTGGTAACGGCAGAGTAGGTGGGACTAAAAAGTTCAATCAATCAATTCCAACTATTAAAGCTATTAAAATAATTTCTTTAAGAACAATTACATCTATATTATATATCTTCAGTCCTATATTATAATGATGCTATACCACTTGATCTCTTGTTGTCTTCCTTACAAAATGCACCAAGAGATCCCTTGGAATATTTTTTATTCTTGTAAATATTTATTTATTTTTCATGCTTCTTAACCATCAATCTCCCTCAGAGATAAATCTTGTGTGTATTCTACACGCCTTATCAATTTCTGCCTTTGTATCCTCTTCCTCCCAATCCAAAAGTTTTAATTTTGTAAAGCTTTAATAACCTTTTTCTAATATCTTCATCAAAATCCTCTCAAATTGCTCTAAATCTCAAACAAATTTCCCTCTCTCAATTCCAAGTAATTGGTGCCAAATTATCTAATTCTCTTTCCAGTTTTCTATAACTTCCTACTTTCCAGGACTTCGTCCACTGTCGTTAATTTGTTATATGTCTCTAAACAATTACAGAGCTTCTTCTTGACTTCTTTAATCTCCTCTGTTATCTTTACATCTTTCTGATATATTCTTTTTTTAAAAGATGTTAATTTAGTAGCCAGTTATTTAATCAATTTAGTATCAAGTGATTCAGCTAACTTGCCCAATTCTCAATTTTCTGAAATTAATCTAGTATAATTCCCCTCTCTGCATATTGCTCTAATGATCCTACTTTTGCTGCTTTTTCCAGTGGTTGCCATTGTAAAATTGTAATCCAAAAACAAAAGTGTCTTGATTGCAAAGGCAAGTGTCTCCTTTTTTTCCTGTTTTGTCTTTCTGTGTCATTAATATTTTCATCTCGAGTGGCACTCCATACACTTTATAGTTACACTCAGCTTCACAATCTGGCTCACCTTTTGTTCTGAAAAATCCACCAATTGCCTACACTCTTTAATTAGTAAAGAAAAAAAACATTTCCATGAAGGTCTGGTTCATTTATCTATTTAATTCCAATTTATTCAAAAGTACTTTCACCAGAATAATCTTTTAAACAAAGACCTGTTCTCTTTATCCATTTTAAATTTTCTTACATCCACTTGTTAAGCTGTTTGCCAAACATTTTTAAATTTTTAAAAGGTCTCCAGAAAGAATATTGATTCACAAAGTGGAATTTTCTTAGCTGCCTCTCAGACAATCTCTCTTTAGCTATAAATTAATTACACCCAATGGTGTTTAAGAAAGTGCTTGTGGGAATCTTGTATCCATATAGGCTGCATCATGGTTATGAGTTTGATTGAATTCCCTCAACTCCAAGCTGTTCAAGACATAGAACCCTCAATACTTGCAGTCTAGACTTGTCATCAGGAGCAGCTGTTGGGAGTGCAAGTGAGCAATCTCACAATCTTACAATTTCTCCTTTATTGGAAAGATAGCACCAGCCAGAATGTGCCATCTGGCCGTCAATCTCCTTCACAATGCTGTCCCTGCAACTTCAGACATCTAGTCCACTACAGATCCTCTGTCAACGCTGCTAACTTTGGATGTTCTTGCTTTGACAACATATGGAGATACAGCCTTTTTCTTTCTTATGCTTTACTCTTAGAATTAGATGATACTGGGGGAGGAGGAATGTGATGGGAGTTAGTTAGACATAACAATATTGTAATTCAGGGCTTTTGAAATAAGAGATGATAAGAAATGGTGGGTTGGAGAACAGGAGGGAAAGCCTACATTTCAAACTAATTGGAGAATGTGATTAATGACTGTTAATTAGATGAGGGAATTGTGTTTGATATTGTGTGCTAAGGGGAGGGGAATCCAGATTTTGGCTTCGACTATGTACATGCCGATGCTATGCCACTTGAATAAAGATTCTTTAAGGTAAACAACGCCTCGACGTTCTTTGAAGAGTTTCATCAGTCGGAACCATGACATCCTCACCCGGAAATACCAATAACCCTTCATCCTGTAAAAACAACATTTGTGGAAAATTGGATAAAAAGTGACTGGGTAACAGTTAACATGACAACCTCTGTGTTTTTTGTTCTAGCAAGCATCACCTCAGTCAACTGGTCTCAGACTCAGATTCTGAAATGGACAGCACAGAGCAACTAGCCCTGGGTAGTACGGACACTCTTTCTAGTGGACATAATGCTGATCTAGAGGCTGCTAAGCGTCTTGCGAAAAGGCTGTACAACTTGGATGGTTTCAAAAAGGCCGATGTAGCTCGTCATCTGGGGAAGAAGTAAGTATGTGTGGGTATTAAGAAAAGTCTCTTCATCCAGATTGTATTTTATTCACTCTGTAAAGAAATATGGCTGCCTGCTGTGCTTCTTCGTAGCTCTCTTCAGAGGAAGTGATTATGACTGCAGTAGGTAAGTCACAGCCTTCATATTGGAAACAATGGAGGAAGCTTTTGTTTCATTTTACAAACATTCTTAGTAATGTTGTTGGTGTGGCCTGTATAGCTTGTGGACACAGGGTGGCTTATCCTCTTTTCTAGCTTGGCAGCAATATTCCCCTATGATCGCTACAGTCTATTTCAGGGGTAGGCAACCTTGGCTCTTTTATGACTCGTGGACTTCAACTCCCAGAATTCCTGAGCCAGCTATGCTGAAGGGAAAGGGAGAGGTTTCCAAGCTGAGCCATGCTGACTCAGGGATTCTGGGAGTTGAAGTCCACGAGTCATGAAGGGGCCAAAGTTTTCCCCATGCTGGCTCAGGAATTCTGGGAGTTGAAGTCCACGAGTCATAAAAGAGCCAAGGTTGCCTACCCCTGGTCTAGTTGGATTAGAACACAGGATGGGGAAGAGTAGTGTAATTGAAAAATAACAAATCTGGGAGCTTTTCCTGTCCCTTAATGTCTGCCATGATCTCTTCTTCAGTTAATCCATCTCATAATCCGCCTCATCCATAAACAAGATGTTTCTTTCATTTCCAGCAATGATTTCAGTAAGACAGTAGCAGGGGAGTACCTCAAGTTCTTTGAATTCACTGGAATGACTCTGGATCAAGCTCTTAGGTAAGTGTCCAAGGAGGGACCTTTGAAGTCTTCAGAAAGATTGAGATTAATAAAGGTTCAGAGGGAAATTAAAGTAGCTGCAGCAGTCAATTGTTTTCAAGATTAACTTGTATTCACATTTATTTAGTAAGACCTATCAGATTTTATATATTTCTTTAGCCATAGTAGCTCATCAGAATTTGCTTCATGTATTTGTGCTGCCTACAATATGGACAGTCCTCAACTTACAATGGCAATTGAAACTGGATTTGCCATCACTACGTGACACAGTTTTAAAGTGCAACTGCATTGATTAGCAATGGCAATCCTTACAGTCCCAGTTGTTGTTGGGCAAGGCAACTTCCCGCTAGCTTCCCACAACCCAAGTTGGTGGAGATATTGGCAGGATGTTGCAAGTCCCAGGCCCAACAGGCAGGTAAGTGGCTGCTACTTGGTGGGGGAGAGAGCAAGGGGGTGTGCAGAAATGTGAGAGAGGAGTGGGGAGGGTACCCAAGGGTGTGAGGGGGGTGCATAAGAAGTGCTGCATAGGTTGGGGAGGGTATGCAGGGGTACAAGTGGCTGGTGCAACATAAGCATAAAGCACAAGCATAGCCCCCATTGACTTTGAGGTGAAGCCAATAGGGAAAGTGGCAAATTGCAAATTGCGATCACATAATTGTGGGGCATTTGACAACCAGCCAAACACCTAGCTTGTGATTAAGTGACCACGAGAATTCTGTGATGGCTAAACCTCTAAGGACTAGTGGGTTAGGATGTAAGTGGCATACTTGATCTTGCTCATCTTGACGTCTCAGCAGTTTTCGATACTATAAACTATGGTGTTTTTCTAGCCAACTTCAATGGTTGGGGGTATGCAACTCCATGTTGCCTTGGTCCACCTCCTTCCTCTGAGGCTGGTTCCAGCCAGTGTTGATAGGATAGAGGAGGCCCAGCCACCTCATTCTGTGGGGTGCTATAGCAGGGCTTTTCAACCTTTTCACCCATTGTACCACTTTTAGGATATGGCAATATCCAAGTACCACCAGTCGCCTAGCAAGGTGTCAAAAACTTGATGACCCCCCCAAAAAAGGAAAAAAGTGTTAAAGTACAGGTAGTCCTTGACTTACAACAGTTCGCTTAGTGACTGTTTGAAGTTACAATAGCACTGAAAAAAGTGCCCCCCAAAGCACAGCCGAGCAAGAAACTTGCCTGCAGCGTTCTTCCTCCTGTCCAAGGTTTTCATTGTTGTGAGCATTTCTATTGAGGATTGGCAGCGGGGGTGGGGTGGGGGGGGTGTTTGGTTTTTATTCCCCCCCACTCCATCTGCTGGGTGGTTGCAGCATGTTTTGGTTACTTCACATGACTCTGGGACACTGTAACCATCATAAATATGAATCAGTTGCCAAGCATCTGAATGTAAATCACAAGACCCAGGAGAGGCTGCAACATTCCAGCTGATTGGCACTTCTTCTGGGCTCAGCAGAAGCACCAGGATCAGTGCTGCTTTCCAGCTGATCGGCACTTCTTCTAGTCTCAGCAGAAGCACCAGGATCAGTGCCAAGCTCCAGCTGGAGCCTGGGGCTGATCCTGGCGTTTCTACTGACCCCTGACAGCCCTGCAGCTCCAGTCATCTCTCGCTCAGGCTTGTGCGGTGCTGTCACCGGTTCAGCTCATTCCCCTTCCCCACTATCACTTTTCTAGGATGGTCACGTACCACCTGCCAGGTGCCAGTGTACCACAGGTGGTACCCGTACCACTGGTTGAAAAGCCCTGTGCTATAGGACTCAGTGCTCTCTCCTCTCCTGTTTAACATATGTAAAATATGTTCATTTATGTCAGGGGTGTCAAACTCACAAAGTCACGTGACGTGTCGCGATGTATCACAGCTTTTTTTCCATTGCCGGCAATGGGGTGAGGGCGGTTTCGCTATGATGCATCCGGCCCGTGGGCCGGCAGTTTGACACCCCTGATTTATGTGTTCATTTATGTAAACCATTTCCCACATTTTTGTTTAGAAAGGATCTTACAGATCAGTTTCAAAAACAAGGTGCAAAGTATATCTATTTTATTTACTTTTATTTTCATTCAATTTCTATAGTCACTTAACTCCGCCAAGTCACTCTTTAGTTCTTTAGACCCAATGCCCTTTACAAAAGAAATAGGTAGGATAAATACAGAGCAGGTACTGGGATTCTTCCTCTTTAGTGCTCTGGATCACATGATTCAGGAGGGAGCAGGGAGCTTCAAATAGAGTAGCAGCTTGTTTACTACCTTTCCCATAAATGGGCAGAAGATTTATTTCCTGTTTGTTTGGGTTTTTTTTCTTTTCTTCCTTTCTTGGCTGGATCTGGCCAGTTTTCATACTAAATCTTTCCTTGCCAGCTTCTCCTTACCACATACTAAATTTGATTCTGTTTTCAGAGTATGGCTCTGCCAGCTGTCTATTTTTTACATAATTTCTTTCTAACATTCCATTGGGCTGGGAAAAAAATAAAAGGGATGGGACAGAAATAAATTCCCAATGTTACAAGATTCTTACAACAACCAGCAGGGTTGGGAAAAGTTCGGGAACAATGTATTGTTATTCCAGAATCAGATTTTACAATGAATATCCTGATTCTAGACCAGTGGTTCTCAACCTATGGGTCAGGACCCCATTTGGGGTCGAACGACCATTTCACGAGGGTCGCCAAACAACACAGTCCGCCATTTTTTCCCCCTTTTCCTTAGCTGTGCTACTCCCTTTTATTCTATTGGCTTTTGAAAGCCAATAGAATAGACTCTCTTGAATAGAGTCTAATTCTATTGGCTTTCAAAAGCCAATAGGAATTGTCCAGGCTGTCTCTGCCCTGCTGAGCCCACCAAAAGTCCCATTCTGCAAACGGTGCTGCACCAGTTGAGTAGTCTTCGGCTTACGACCGGTTGAGTAGTCCTCAACTTACGACCGGTTGGGGGTCGCGGCATTAAAAAGGTTGAGAACCACTGTTCTAGACCTTTGTGTCTCTGCTTCAGTGATTCTCTGCTACATTCCTGGCATGGTGAGATGGCACAGCTTGTTGGTGGCCTGTGCTAGAGTGTTTTGGAATTGCAACCTTTGGCCAGGAGCTGTTGCTATATCATTGACAGAACTGCTGGGGGACTAAGATGGGAAAGCTTCACTGTTCCAGAATGAAAGCGCAAAGTCCTAGAGCAGTGGCTATTACACTTGAGAAATAGCCATGTCTTCCTTTTCTCTTCAGATCTTTTCTGAAGGAGCTGGCCCTCATGGGAGAAACTCAAGAACGGGAGCGGATCCTGGCACATTTTTCACAACGATATTATGCGTGCAACCCCAAAGCCATCCCTTCTGAAGGTAAGATAAAATAAATTTAAAACATAAGATAAGCTTATTTGTCAAACCCTCTGCTTTACTTGGTTGCTTTTTATTAATTGCATTTGTCGTGGAAAAACCCAATGAAAAAGACAAGAGACAGCAACACAAAACAATGATTCTTACTTTAAGATTCAGAGGTTTATTTTGCTAATAACTTGGAACATAGCAAACATAATAACACAACATCACCTACATTAGTAACCCATTGCAATGAGGTCCAGCAAGGACAGCTATAGGCCAGTGGCAAATCAATCAGGTCCAGTCCCAACTCTTTATACCATTTCCCGTCCTAAGACTGTAGACCAGGGTCTTCAAACTTGGCACTTTTATGACTTGTGGACTTCAACTTCCAGAATTCCTCAACCAGCCATGCCTGGGGCATGCCTGGCTGAGGAATTCTGGGAGTTGAAGTCCACCAATAAAAAGGCAAAGCTTGAGGACCCCTGCTGTAGACAGATGGTCAGCAATCTTACACTTTCTGCTGACTTTTTGCTGATCCTTTGCTGAACATAACTTCCCACATACTCGTGAACATTGGAACCCAAATCCATCAGCTACTTTCAGTTCCCTATTTCTTACTGTTACAGTCCTTATGTTCTCAATATATTTGAAACAAGCAAGCTTAGCAAAATCATATTAAGTAAAGTACAATTGCAAACTGCAAAATTAAGCATAGCACAGACTTTGGTTCAATACTTTTTCCATGAGGCCTGATTTAATTCACCTGGGCCTAAACCTTGCATAAAATAACAATAACCAATATTTTCATCTTCCACACTTTGTGTGTTCATTTTTCGGGGTCTGCCATTCTGGTAGAGGGGGGCTGGTTGCCGGGGAATGTATTTGTTTTGCTCTGCTCTGTCCTCTGGAAAGATGCCTCCCTCCCTGAGAAAGGAATGTGGCCTGAAGACATCTGCCTTATCTCCAGACAATGGAGCCTGGGATCATTGGGAAACAAAACTGAGAGAGACCTTGAGATGGGCACTAAATCACCAGGTTCTCAAAACAACATAGTACCTATGGATTGGCTGGATTTCAACCAGACAATTGGACACTGGAGGGAGGAGTTTTGCTTGGGCATTATGATGAAACCTTTCACACACAAATTGTTCAGACCTTGCTTTGCTCTACTGCTATCACTAATTGTCAATAAAAGTTCCTTTTGAAACAATACGTGTTTCAAGAGATCTACTTTCTTGGAAGATCTAGTTGAGGCAGATTCTTACATAAAGCAAGGTCTGCAATAATGCTCAACCCAGAGAGGCAGCTGCCCTACCATGGGGGGCTCGTGCACAAGAAGTCTCTGCAAGGCAGCAAAACGGGAGAAGCCAGGACCGAAGATTTGAGCGAGTCAGCTACACAGGCCTGTCACAAGGAAGGCACCTCAAGTTGGCTGGCGGAAGCCACTGCCTTCGAAGACTCCACAAAACCGAGATGGTCGCTCAGTGTCAGGAAGAAAAAACCCAAAGGAGGGAAGAAAAAGGCTCAGAAGAAAAAGGTGGAGCTGACATCCAATGAGGAAGAGATGGACAAGCAGGTGGATCAGATGGAGGGGATCCTGAAGCAAGCCATGCAGTACATGGTGGAAGCTTTCGAGGACCTAAAAGCTAAATCCCTGAGCCGTCCAGAGAAAGAGGAAGAACTAGCTGAGGAAGCTGGGTGTGGAGATGAAGAAACCACAATCACTGAGAGCACAGGGGGAACAATGGGCTCCTACAGCCAGTAGCGAGCCCTTCAACACCCTGGAGAGAGATCTCTATGGATTTTATTGTGGAGTTACCCAAAAGAGCAGGAAACACTGTCATTTGGATAGTTACCTACCTCAAAACAGGCCCATTTCATCCCATGTCAAAAGATTCCAACTGCTAAGACTTTAGCCAAAATATTTGTGCAGCATATTTATCAGTTGCATGCCTCCCTCCCTGACAAAGGAATGTGGTCAGAAAACATCTGCCTTATCTCCAGACAATGGAGCCTGGGACCATTGGGAAATGAAACTAAAAGAGTCCTTGAGATGGGCGCTAAATCACCAGGTTCTCAAAACCACATAGTACCTATGGATTGGCTGGATTTCAACTGGATAGTTGGACACTAGAGGAGTTTTGCCTGGGCATTATGATGTAACCTTTCATGTGCAAATTCTTCAGACCTTGCTTTGCTCTACTGCTATCACTAACTCTCAATAAAAGTTCCTTTTGAAACAATGCCTGTTTCAAGAGTTCTGCTTTCTTGGGAGATCTAGTTGAGGCAGATTCATAGAATAGAATAGAATAGAATAGAATAGAATAGAATAGAATAGAATAGAATAGAATAGAATAGAATAGAATAGAATAGAGTAGGGTAGGGTAGGGTAGGGTAGGGTAGGGTAGGGTAGGGTAGGGTAGGGTAGGGTAGAGTAGAGTAGAGTAGAGTAGGATAGGGTATAGAATAGAGCTGGAAGGTCTTTTAGTCCAACCCCCCACTCAAGCAGGAGAGCCTATACCATCTCAGACAAGTGACTGTCCAATCTCTTCTTAAACACCTACAGTAATGGAGCACCCATGATTTCTGGGGGCAAGCTGTTCCACTGGTTAATTATCCTCACTGTTAGGAACTTTCTCTTTAATTCCAGGGTGCTCCTCTCTTTGATCAGTTTCCAACCATTGTTTCTTGTCCTGCCAACCTGGAACTAAGGAGAAAGTTCCTAACAGTGAGGACAATTAACCAGTGGAAAAGCTTGCCATTAGAAGTTGAAGGTGCTTCATCACTGGAGGTTTTTAAGAAGAGACTGGACAGTCAATTGTCTGAAATGGTATAGGATCTCCTGCTTGAGTAGGGGGTTGGACTGGAAGACCTCCAAGGTCCCTTCCAGCTCTATTCTAATTGAAACAAAACATTGGCGGTAACAGATGGAGGGTCTTGGTTTTGCACCATGTATCAAGGCAGTTCCTTCTGCTGGCAGGAAGATACATGATGAAGAGGCTGGATTCTAAACCCTTTTTACCTTTGTTTGCTCTATGCATATGAAGGCTTGGAGCCTTCCGTTGACTACAGCTAAATAATTTTAATATTCAGCTACAAATATCTTGCTACATTATGTCTGCTACCTTCAGAAGAGAACACTGGACATTTATAATGCCTTTAATATCTGCAAAAGTCATAATATACAAGAAGAATATATGTGGTGGCAACAGGCACTTTTACAAGAAATCTCTATATTTGGTCCCATCATTCCAGAACTGGAATACTTTGAAGGTGAAAATACCCATGCATCTTTTGGTGGAAAATCTTAAAGGCAATTCTAACACATTATTAATGCTAATGAAAATTATCCTTCAAAGAACCTTCAAACCATTTCTTAGGAATTATTTTTGTGAAGTATTAAAAAAAATATCACTTTTCTTCCAAATATTCATTGTAACAACAGGTGCAAGAAGGGTTTAACCGTTTTGCTTCCATTTTTCTACACACGCAAGAAGATATTTTTAAAAAGATATACTTTTTTTAATAATAAAAAAGTAAATAAGATGGTTTTTTTTTCTCCATTAAGGATCACATGTTAGACGTTAATTAACGATAAGTCCAATAAGAATTGCCCAAACTGATTGTTTCTCTTTGGTGCTTGTGCCACAGATGGAGCCCACACCCTGGCTTGTGCTTTGATGCTTTTAAATACAGACCTTCATGGACACGTAAGTGCCTTCTGATCTTTTAAGTCACCCCACTTGGTGCGTTGAGATGAATGTAGTGAAAAAGAACAAAGAAAACTGGGTGCTGGATGGATCTGTTCTCTCCAGGAGCCAAAAGATAAATGTAAGGCTAGCAAAAATGTTTAAAAATGTTTCAAATAATTGTTGGAAATGTAAACAAAAGCCAGGTACTTATTACCATATCTGGTGGGTATGTCCTAATGCAAAGAAATTTTGGTCTAAGATTCATATATGGCTGGAAAAGATGACTAAAATATAGATAGAATTTAAGCCAGAATTGTTTTTTGTTAGGAATATTAGGAGCTAACTATGGGAAAGAGAATGAGTATTTAATATTACATATATTGACAGCTGCAAGAATAGCCTTTGCCCAGTGTTGGAAAAACGAAAATATAACACCTGGTGAGATCATAATTAGGGAAATTCTAGAATGTGCAGAAATGGACAGACTAACCCTAGAAATTAAAGAGAAAGAAGACTCAGTTTATTTTAAAACATGGGAAATTTTTTACCAATGGTTAGCACAGGGGTTCTCAACCTTGGCAACTTTAAGACCTGTGGACTTCAATTCCCAGAATTCCTCAGCCAGCAAATCTGGCTGAGGAATTCTGGGAATTGAAGTCCACAAGTCTTAAAGTTGCCAAGATTGAGAACCCCTGGGTTAGCAAAACAAGTTAGCGAGAAATGATTGTGAAATTTATTAAGATGATTGATGTTTATTGATTAATCGATATGTTCTATAATTATTGCTATTTTTGTTGACTACAGCTACTTATTATTATATTAACTATTCTCACTGAATATCTGTATCCAGACGATAGTTTGCTTGCTAAAGCTTGGAATGTTTTGGGGGGCAACCCCATTGTTGTACCTACCCCCATCCCAACCCCATCCCTGAACCCCACCCTGAACCCCACTACCTAGATCGATCTTGTTCTTCCCCTACCTTTATAAAACTTAATAAAATATTGTCAAAAAAAAACGATAAATAACATGGAGACACAGGATCGCAGGGCTGAGTGGGTGATTCTCCAGGAGACCATTTCAAGCCTTGCAGGTTGCCAGCTCCTTCTGGCTTCTCCTGCAGTCAGAATATTCACATGGAGGAGGGCTCGTTTCTATTTTCTTTTGAAAAACTCTATTTTCCTACCAGATTTCTACTTCTGCAGCAAAATGGTCTCTACTGTGAGGCACATAACGATCAGTTTAAAAAAACTACTTGGTGCTGGGTTGTGGGGGAGGGTTGAATATATTATAGGAAAGATTGGCAAGCCTATGCTGGGGAAAATCTTAAGTATAAAAAATAAAGAATTTCTTCTAAAATGGTGGACGAGCGCCATTTTGTTTCATTTTGCCATGTGCCTTTTTAGCCTTCTTCCATATTGAATAGGCTTTCTGAACTTTCTGGAGTATAAGACCTCCAAGCTCCCTTCCAGTGCCATTATTCTGTTACAAAAAGAGCCAAGGTGGCACAGTGGTTAGAATGCGGTACTGCAGGCCATTTCTGCTGACTCTGCCAGCAGTTCGGCAGTTCGATTCTCACCAGCTCAAGGTTGACTCAGCCTTCCATCCTTCCAAGGTCGGTAAACTGAGGACCGAGATTATTGGGAGCAATATGCTGACCCCGTAAACCACTGAGAGAGGGCTGTAAAGGACTGTGAAGTGGTATATAAGTCTAAGTGTTATTGCTATATGTTCTTAAATAAGAATAGGGGAATATTGTTCTATTGCTGAGTAAGCTTTGCTTTACCCTTTGTTCTTGTAGTAACACTTGTAAACTGCATTCACATAAAATTTTAACCTAGATTAACCCATTTCCTGGGTTCACACTTTGCACTGACCAGATTGGGTTTGTACAATAGCCTAACCCCTTGGTGGCGAACCTATGGCATGCGTGCCACAGGTGGCACGCAGAGCCCTCTCTGTGGGCACGCGCACCGTCGCCCCAGTCCTAGGCCTTCAGCTTGGTTTTATAAAACCTTTTTCGCTTTAGGCCTCCGCCGCCATGTGCAAAATAAAAAAAAGGTTCAATCAATCAATCAATTTCAACTTCTCACGGGAAAAAAAAAGATCTCACAAAGTTGGAATTGATCAATTGAACTTTTTAGTTACCACTGCAGTCACGCCCACCCAATGGGCCACACCCACCCAGCACCTGACGATACATAAGTGGGTTTTGGGTTGCAGTTTGGGCCCTCGGTCTCTAAAAGGTTCACCATCACTGGCCTAACCATTAAGTTAGTCAAGGTTAACACTAACCAATCTGCTAGAATTCATATGTACTAATTAATTTTCCTTGTTAAGTATGTTTTAGGAACACCAAGAGTTTCTACATCAAACATAAGCTCTAATGCCCCAAATAACCTTCCAAAATTCATTCTTAGTGACCTATTTTAATTTTTGAATTTGGGGGGGTATTAAAACATTTCCTTCATTCAGATCTAAATTGCTGTTAGAGAAAGGATTTCCACCAAGCTATCATTAATTATCCTTGATAAAGTTTTATACTTATATTTGTTTTTTCTATATAAAAAAGCCACACCACCCACTACCATATTTTGTGACATATTTTTTTCCAGAATACGTAATTGAATTAATCTTGCTAAACTTATGAGCTAGTCATTTTTCCTTCTTTCCTCTCTTCCACCTTCTAGAACATTGGGAAGCGAATGTCTTGCTCAGATTTCATTGGGAATCTGGAAGGTCTGAATCAAGGTACTGATTTCCCCAGAGAACTACTCAAGGTAAATCCAACTAGAACTCTTTGTCAGGGGTTCCGACTAATGAAGCACTTCAAAGAACTTTCGGGCATGTTTCCTAAAGTCTTTATTACAAAGCTACAAATTGCCGGTCACCATCATGAACGTTTTGATGCCAGAATCTGACTTCCTCTCGCTGGCATCAAACTTTTCTTGCTAAACCCCTCCCTTATCTTGCAGTCACAAGTCACATTATCCAATTAGTGTGAAGGTCAAAAGTTTACTTCCTCTTTCTTTCCCGGGCTTTTTACCCCCCCCCCACTCTAAGCTATGTATTAACCCAGTAAATACCAGACAGTTTTGCATATTGTCAAAGCAAGAATATACAGTATTTGCAGCATTGACACTCTTCCTGGAAAAACAGTGCAATATAAGCGAAAATGTTGCTTGTCACTTTTACTAAGCTAGTTCCCAAGATCTAGCAAGTCCAAGAGGTTTTTTTTATTATTATTCCAGAGAGTTTATCCATTTTGGACTACAAAATTTTCAAGAAGAAACCTACCTGCAACTACAGTATTTATGGTAGCTCCCTGTTTCCTTTTAGCAAAGATCCTACTATGTGTGGGTATGATGTGTGCATGTGCACTGAGACATTTTATGTATGTACATATATTCTGTACATATGTATTTTGCTGTGGATGAGAGATTTTGAGTGAATCTGGGTGTGGGGGAGATACAGTGTGCTTCCATAGATGTGTAGGAATATTTGTACAGGGAGATCATATGTATATTCAAATCTTGATATATTTTGGAAAACTGCTTTGGTACCTTATGTTTCGGAGGAAAAACTGCTTACATGCAAAGGAATGGCATAAGGCAGATTCACACTTCCGTACCTTAAGGATACCACTTATTCCCCTTGAAGCTTGCAGGAGATAAAATGTTCTAAATTTCAGGGTGGTTATAAAAACTGAAAGATATTTTTGTGTATTTAATACTTTTTTGTTAACGGGTTTTTTTTTTAAAAAAAGTAACAAAACAAAAGATCAGTTTCCTTGTTAAAGTTCTGTTTGAAAATATATCCATGTCTCTGGAAAAGTCATTATTATTGTGGAATATTAATAGGGTAACCTTTATGCTCTCTTGTCTACCTGAACAAGTTAATGATTCTTTCCACAAAGGTTAATATTATTTTATGGAGAGCTTTATGGATCTCCCCCAAACATCTAACCAAATACTTATATTTTTAGAGGCTATTCATATTTAAAATTCAGGAGGTTAGAACATTGTCCTGGTTTAAATCGGTGTCTTATATTGATTAATGAAAGCTTGTAACCCTGTTTAATTGGTCTTGTTTTTTAATTTGAACATGTATAAACTATGCATTTTCATTTTGAGTCTCAAGAACTTACAAATATCCATATTAATGAAATCCAAGTGAGTTAGTTAGGTTCCATCAACCTGCAATTTGTCAGAATTCCTCAGTGGCTTCTGCCATTATGTTTGTAGTAGGTACATCTATCCTCCTTTCACCTTAATCAATAGGTTTCTCTCTTAGGTACTAGTATTCCCACTGGAGCAACTAAAGTCATTGGTCAATTGAGACTTACCGCATCAAAGTGATAGCAACATGTCATTAAAACCAATTTTTTTTAAAAAAAATCTAAAGCGTCTAGAAAAAAAAATAAAAAACCCACTCTTGAACTATAAAAACAAGGCAATTAGTCTAAACTCCAGTGACAAATTGTTCCATAGTCTAGCCCAGTGGTTCTTAACCTCGGCGATATTGCCCCCCCAGGGGGCGATTCCATTTTTCAGGGGGGCGAAGGAACGAAAAGGGGGCGATATGGAGGTGATGGAGCGAGAAGTTTTGGGGACACTTTTGAGACTTTTTCATACAGTGAATCGCTGTATATCTGTCGTACAAAAACATCAGATCGCTCGCTATTAGTGGATTGAATTGTGTTTTCAAATGTTCCTCCAGCTAGCTTCAGTACAGAACATCGTACATATCTGAATACGCATCGCTTATCTTCATGCGCATTGCGCAGCAGCCTCTACCCATACAGTGGCGTGCCATTGGCCAGAATGGGCAGCGATGGAGAGTGGAGCGCTTTGGATTTCACATTCCAGTTTGTGTCTTTTTAATCCTTTTTAGAGTGTGCGTGACTATATATACTTTCCTCGAATCTTAATTTAGTTTCAGAGTTTTCGTCTTGAAATTCTTAGTTCCTGCATTGCGGTTTGTTCTAATGCCCTTTTTATATTTGTTTTTGCGTCTTAAATTTCACTTGTAATTCAATCATTAAATGTTACTGTTTTTCTTTTCGGGCATTTCACTTTCTTGCAATTGAATTTTGTTTTCAGTGGTCATTACATTTAAGTGTCTTGAATAAATAAGATAATAATGACATACATGTATCATGAGGTTTGGGAAGAAAGTGACGGGTGGCACCAACATTTTTCACACAGTTGAGATATGGGAAAAAGACTGGAAATAAACTATTTGCATCTATATGTCCTGGTGACAATTTTAAAGAAAACAAAAAAAAAGTGTTAGCATAAATTGAAGAATTATTTCCTATGTTGTGATTGAGAGGTTATGTTGGGGGAGGGGGGCTATGACGACTTCCTCATTGGCTCAAGGGGCGATTTGTTCAAAAAGGTTAAGAACCACTGGTCTTGCCAAAGTGGAAAAAGCAGAATTAATTCTTATATTAGCGAAAAGGTTGAGAAAGTCAATAAGGAAGGTAGTCCCAGGTTCCCAGGTAAAAGAGGATCGATAGAAGAGAATATTTATAGCTCAGGGTTACTTGGTGCTCTCTGCAGCATCAAGTAACCCCGCTATTTTCTTGCAGATGTTTCATTACCCTACTAGATAACATCATCAGTGCTCAGTGCTAAGAGAGGATCATTATATAAACTTATCTGAGTTTTTTCAATGTTATCAAGTGAACCATCAAGTATCTGTTAAATGGGAAAGATAGGAATAAGAAACGTGGAGCATAAATGCTGCAGCACAAATACATGCTCTGCAGTAGTCATCCTTAACAGTTATGTCAGGCTTCATTCTTGCTTGCAATAAATATTCTAAAGTACCACAGTTGCATCCGAGTTTTTGCCATATCTAGCAGACAGTTGAATTAAGATTTAAGAGTCTTGGCTTTTCGTAGGATATAATTTCAATCAGTAATGAACACTCATCAAATTCTCAGATCGGATTCTGCAGTGTTCTGTCCTTTTTCGCTAAGAACATAGAATGTAAAATTATGAGGCTGGAAAGGATCTCAAAGGTCAAGGCAGGAAACCTTATACCATCCTGGTCAAACAATTGTCCAGTCTGTTTTTGAAAACCTCCAGTGATGGAACATCTCCAGAAGGCAAGCTATTACACTGATTGTTCTCATTGTCAGAAAATGTCTCCTTTACTTTTAGAGTGGATTTCTTTAACAAGCCTGCATCCATTATTTTTTGTCCCTCTGAGGCTTTGGTGAATAAGTCAGTCTCCTCTTCTCTGTGACAGTCCTTCAAGCACTGGCAGATAGTTTTCCTGACTGCCCTAATCCTTCTCTTCAACAGGCTAGCTCCCTTAACTGTTCGTCATACAATTTAGCCTCCAGACCCTTTACCATCTTTTTTGCTTTTCTCTGCACACTTTCTGGAGTCTCGTCTTTTTTATATCATGGTAACCAGAACTGTACACTTCCAGTGTGGCTTTACTAGTGCAGTATAAAGCAGTATTATCACTTCTTGCACTCTTGATGCTATTCCTGTTTATACAGCCTAAGACTCCATTGGTTCTTTTGGCAGCTGAAGCACATTGCTGGCTCATACTTAAGTGGTGGTCCACTATGACACTTAGCTCTCTTTCACATTTGCTACTGTTGAGCCAGGTATCACCTAAATTTGGTTTTTCCTGTCTATGTGCAGGACCTTACTTTTCTTACCACTGAATGCATCTCGTTGGATAGGGTCCAATGCTCAAGTCTTTTAAGATCCTTCTGAAACTTGAAATTTATCTTCCACAAGGTTAGCAATTTCCCCCAGCTTGGTGTCATCTGCAAATCTGATGAGCTCCCCTTCTATCCTAGATACTATTATTAGGGTTGTGTTGGGAGTGCTGAAGAACCTCTGGGTTGGGGGCTCTTTTCATGTCCCCATTAAGTTGCCCACGAAAGTGGTACCCATTTATCTACTTGTGGTCACTCACTTTCAAACTGCCAGGTCAGCAAGAGCTGGAGCATGTGACAGAAGTTCATCCACTCCTGCAGCAGCAACCAGGTCTTGAACACGAGCCTGCCAATCATCAGCCCAGCATCCTAACCCAGGAGTAGGCAACCTTGGCTCTTTTATGACTTGTGGACTTCAGCTCCCAGAATTCCTGAGCCAGCCATGCTGAGGGGAAAGGGAGAGGTTTCCAAGCTGAGCCATGGTGGCTCAGGAATTGTGGGAGTTGAACTCCACAAGTCATAAAAGAGCCAAGGTTATCTACCCCTGTCCTAACCACATGAGCCCAGATAGGTCATTTATGAAGATGTTGAAGAGTACCAAGTCCAAGACAAAACTTTGAGATACTGCAGTGCATGCATCTCTCCATGTAGATGCACTTCCATTAAGGACTACATACTGGGTGCTGTTAGTGAGCCAGTTGCAAATCCATGTGGTGGTAGGGCTGTCTATTTCACATTGTTTTAATCTTACAAAGTGGGCCGTGATCTACTTCGTGAAATGTTTTACTGAAGTCCAAGTATAGTATGTCCAAAGTATTTCACTGGTCTACTAATTTAATCATTTTATCAAAGAAGGCTATAAGGTTTGCCTGGCCTGATGTAATCACCTTGTTCATTTCTAGATGCTCACAAATCTTCTGCTTGATTATCTTTTCCTGGATTTTCCCAGGTATTGATGTCAAGCTCATTATCCTATAAAATGAACAAGACTGAGCTCAATCCTATTAGCAGGAATTGTGCAAGAGATTCCTAAGAGGAGTATCTGCCTACTATAGAGTTCATACGCATTTGTCTGAAATGGTATAGGGTTTCCTG